GTCACTACAGCGTAAGCGATGGAAGAAAAATGCAGTTGCTCACGCTGTGGTGTATGGTTACCATGGCTACTATGGCTACTATGGCTACTATGGCTACTATGGCTACTATAGCTGTCGTAATTATACTGCTGCAAGAGTGAACCTAGCTGTTGTGAGATGAAGAGAGAGTAGATATTAAATAAGAGAAAAGGTAAGAACACAGAGAAAGTCCGTTAGAACTTGTATAGGTTTTTATTTCTCCTAGAAAAATGTTATCTTTCAATTGCTATAAAATGTCGAGGTATTTATACTTTTTCTTCTCGGTCAAAGTATTGTTTTGGGTTAGCTTCTTGACTACGGATTGATTTGTTAGATCAGGAGCAATTAAGAGAAATGCCTTTAGAGGAAGTTGTCAGCTCAGCCAATAGTACATGATCTGACCTGAACTTGAATAAACTATTACATATTTGTCAAATGCCAATGCCAATGTATTTGTCAGCTCTAACTGTCACTTTATAAGGGCCATTAATAATAACAGAGTCACTAGGTTTATAACCTCTGTCTATGAGGATGATGTAGTACTTCTAGTAGAATGAGTGAATGTCAGTGACTATAGATCCATTGCAATTGCCATAGAAGTGATCTGGTTTTTTGCCATGATCATCATTTATTGATCTATGCATATGAATTCATATATGTTCACAACAGTATTGAGTGTTGAAAGTTTCCACACGGCGAGTTTCCAGTTGTGATTTGCTGTTGTTGGCCATATCACTGCTGGTGAAGGTAATGTGATCGATGTGGCTGGGTGGAGGAGAACCGGTGGTGCTACCCTCAACGTCTGTAAGACAGGAAACCAAATTGCTATCTTCCAATACGGGGTCACCATCGTCACCAAAGGTAACCGTTCCTGAATAATTTTGTGTAAGCATCGTGTTATCAGGTTCCACGGTGGGTTGAGGTACGGGAACTGAAATTGATTCCAAGGAATGGTGAACGCGTCGGTGGCAAGGCTGCCTGGGTCTGGGAGCCACGACACGTAGTTTCTTACTTAGTGGGTATTCCGATCCGCAAAAAGATCTACGTCGTTTTGTCCCCAATGTTGCTGAATTTGATGAAATATCGGTCGTCGAAGCATCCAATTGTTCTTTTGGTAAGGCCGTCTCGACTCGAAATCCGCAATTGTGTTGGCAATTCCTTGTACATGTGTGGATTGAATTGTTATTCCTCTTTTCAAACACCATTTCCACAGTTTGGTTGCTAATTCCATAAGTGGTAGTGATCTCGTCCCGCCCTGTTTGTTCATGTAGGCCATAGACGTAGTGTTGTCCGTACGAATCAGGATTCTCATGCTGTGAAGTCGGGAGAAGGAGCGTAATGCAAGAAAAGCCGCTTTCAACTCTCTCCAGTTGATTGACATTCGAGCTTCTTGGTGTGTCCAGTGTCCATGTGCAGTGAGAGATGGTTGGTTCGGTAGATTCAGGCTGCAACCCCAGCCCGTGTTGCTGGCGTCCACATAGATCGTTTGTTGAGGCGTCTGTGGGAGGATGCTCTTCCCATTCCATAGTTGTAAATTCCATTACCACCAACGGAGCTCCTTGATACATGCTACTGGAAGTGGTTGTTTCTTGTCCCAGTCGGCTAGGGATCGTACCGATCGGTTCTTCATTCGCAATAGATGTTGTGTGTGTGGTGATCTGAGCACTTTCAATACAAAATATAATAAATAATCTTTCATCATATAAATGAATAATCACTCATAGCACTATACATTATAAATATAAAGTAAGCACTGTATAATGACAGTAAATAACGGTAACTGGGATAATATGGATATTTACAAATAAGGAAACCATAATTGTACCTTTTAGGTAACAAGGAGAATTAAAGGAGAATTTATATAATCAATTCCCAGGCACACGCTGTCAAGGCGTTAAGTAATCAATAATCAGTAATCACAATTAGTCAATAAATCAGGTAGTATAAAAGACAACCTGGAAAAGATATATTTTAGAATAATCAATTTATTTTTGTAATAAAGAAGTACTGAACAGTCTCACTGTATTTCTTTGTTTTCTTTCAATCTTCTATTATATCTTCATTCACAACCCAAACATCACAGTGTGTACAGTCGGGCAGGCAGGAGAGCAAACGTCGCCGATTGGATCCTCATGGTGAGACTGTGAATCGTCCGTGCCGATTGGATGGGGTCTTTCAGAAGTTGTTGTATGCTTTTCCGAAGGTTTAGAATCTTGTTTCCCGGCAACCGAGCTGTCATGTTGGTGGTATTCAAGGAGAAGCCGAGATGATCGAGCTGTTGAGTTGGAAGTAGGGTCGATTTCTTCTCGTTGACAATCCAACCTAGTTGTTGCAATTTGTGGAGTACACACTGGGTCTGTTGCTGGGCTTGTTGGAAAGTGTCTGCAACCAAGATCCAATCGTCGAGGTAAGCACTCAGACGAATATTCTGTTGACAAGCCCATTCGAGAATTGGTTTGGTAAGTTTTGTGAAGAGCCAAGGTACTAGGGATAAGCCAAAGGGTCTGGTCTTGAATTGATAGGTGGTGTGGTTCCAACGAAAACGAAGGAAACGACGAGAAGAAGGGTGGACAGGTATGTGGAGAAATGCATCGGAAAAGTCGATGGAAGTCATCCAGTTGTTGGGTCTTATGGTGCGTGTCACTTCCTGGAGAGTTTCCATTTTGAAGTGAGGTGCCGTAACATATGAGTTGGGTTTTTTGAGGTTGAAGACCGGGCGGTGACCACCGTTCTTTTGGGGATCACAAAGAGTGGACTGTAGAACCCCGGTGTTGCTAGTTGTTGTTGCTGAGACACGACCTCTATTGTTCCTTTCTGCAATAGAGATTGTATTTCTTGTTGTAGTAGTTGTTTTTGGTCGAGGTTGTATGGAATCATGGGTTGCGGGTTGTTGGTGAGAGGAGGTGGAGTGTGGAATTGAATTATAAAGCCGGATTGAATTGTTTTGAGAAGTAAGTTTGATATGGAAAGAGTTGTCCATTGTGAAAAGAACCGGCTGAGCCGGCCGCCTACTAGAGGCGACGATGAATCTACTGTTGTTGTTGTTGGCGAAAAGGATTGGTGTTCCTTCTTTCGGTGTTGGTGACCTCGGATTTGTTGAATTTGTTGTAAGTGGGTTTGTTGAACTTGTTGTTGTTGTGGTTGTTGTAATCGCCCTGCTGAGAGGACGGACCGGTCCGAAAAAACTGTTGAGGTTGAGTAGTGTGGGAAGAATGATTTTGATTGGTGCTAAATTGAGGTCGTTGGCCAAATCGAGAAGCTTTCTGCACGTTTTGCAAGTTGGTGGTTTGTTGCGCCAAAGCCGCCTAAAAATCGTCAACAGGCATAATGTAATTATGTTGTGACGACTGGCTAGTAGAAGAGAAACGAGGGTTAATAGCTTGGAAAGCAATAGTCTTTCGCATTTCCGTCATTTCAGAGGTTAAGTTTAAAAGTAAAGAACGACAGTCGTGAAGCATACGTAAGTAACGTTGAACGTTAGGATTAGTATTGTCGGTACTAATTTCCAAGGCCAATACACCCAAAGGTCTGAATGTGGCAGAAGCAAGGTACTGTAACCGTTTTAAAGAACGATCCTGCTTCGTGAGATGTTGCTTCATGTTACGAGCTGCGAGAGGTACGGTATCAGGAGGTTGATAATCCATATCCTTCATACCCGGATACTGTTCGATGATCGCTTTACGTTTGTCATCGGTTAACGGGTTCGTAGTGAACAAAGATTGGTTGAAGTTCATTACTTCAGATAAAAAGGGCAAAGGTTGCCAAGTGTAATCAGGACGAATGTTCAAGGAGTGAAGTTGAGAGACAAGCTGTTCTTCCTCCATTTGCTGTTGTTGTAGTTGTTGAATAGGGGGCTCTGCTGAAGGTTGAGCATTGTTGTTAATGAGGAGTAGTTGTTCAAGGCGATTGATTTGTGCCTGTTGATTGGCGAGAAGTTGTTCAATTTGTTCGGAACTCATTTGTATGGTACTGACCAGCGAAAAAGAAGATCAATTATTATGTGTTATATCAAAAAAATTATTATATTATTCTCGCTGACCAATAAAAAAGAAAGATTAAGCAATCATATGACTTATTTTGTATTCGAGTGTCTCATTCAACTCTAGAAGAATTTCATTCGTCACTTGAATGCTCCTTATAAAATAAAGATAATGTTCAAAGAGGACTTATAACTACGCTTGATAATGTTCCTTATAATATAAAGATAATGTTCTTTGTAGATCAAAGATAGTGTTCAAATATGAATTCGAAAATAAAAATGAAAGGAAAATAAGATGTTAACACAAGTATGTTTCGGGAAGGAAGCCCAAAGATAAAAAATAAAATTATTAAGTCTGTTACCATCCACTGAGATAGTGAATGCTATGCTTTTATTTGTTACACAGCTTATAATGCTCACTGAATGACCTCCTTTATTTCAGAAAAATAGGGAGTATTTATAATAAAATTGTACATTTGTACTATGTGAAAAAGTAAAGAATAGGACTTTGGTGTTTTACATTAATATCATCTTTCTTTCTCACATTGTTGTATACACAGCATTATTCATCCCTTCTTACACTAGTTATGCCTTAAAAGAGCAAGTATTAATATCATGTATAAATATATCTTTCAATCACAGTTTTATCCGCAGCTTCGATGGATGTCTTCTATCTTAGTTTAAACATGTTAAAGATCAGACCATCACATAATCACAAATTGACATCTGCATCAATACCAATGGTAGACGAGGTCTGTGCCCTGATCATGTACCCAGTTCTTGTGTACCTTAATCCACTCAACCGATTAGCTAGTGTATACACACTCAGTCCCAAATTAAGGATAATCAATTATCATACAAACAGTATAAATACAATACAAAATATAACCTTTAATAAAGAAGACTTCTTTTGGCCGTTTTGGTTCTAATCGACTTATTGATTTGACCATTTTATTAGTGATTATATCACACACATTCAATTCTCGAATCTCAGCCCCATAATATGACAACTTACTCACGTATCTTCAAGATTTTTTTCGATCTGTGCGAAGAAAAGGATGATATACCATTGCTCGCTGATTTTTTTGGAAGGCACAGTCAGCACATAAAAGCTAACATTGGCAAAGATCAAGATGAAGAATATAGCAAGCTTGCAAGTGCCTTTTTCAAGTACGCCAATTCAAGAGGCATAGAAGCTAAGAAGGGTGATGCTAAGACAGCCTGGAAAAAGCATATCAAGCAGCAAGCAAGCATTGCTATGACAGCAACAACAACCAACAACAGAAAAAACATGGTCTTATGCCAAGATTATGGTAAAGAAGAAGGTGTCTTTGGTCGCTGGTCTGTTGGTGATGAAGACTTGATAAAAGTTTTTCAACAAAGAAAGAAGACGTGTTGTTGAGCTGGTGAGGAACAAGAAGATGCTAAGAGAAAGTCAATACTTGCTGCTTTCCTTTATCTTGGAAGTGCCAGTTGCTGTTGAAGGATTCTGCCTTGAAGCCAAAAACTTCAAAAAAATAAGAAAAGCGCTCACTCCTGCCACAAAGAAGAAGCAATTCGAGCATGAAATTCTAGTCATGTTCATTGACTTGAAGACACAATGGGAGCTGGAGCAAGAAGAAAAATAAGAAAAATAAGAAAAAAAAAATAAGAAAAATAAGAAAAATAAGAAAAATAAGAAAAAGAAGAAAAAGAAGAAAAAGAAGAAGAAGAAGTGGAAGATGATGACGATGATGACGATGATGACGATGATGACGATGATGATAATGATGATGAAGAAGAAAAAGATGTGCAGTACTTGCAGTACCAGATGTCGCGGTATGCAAAGAAATCGAAGAAGGAAGAAGAAGATGCCTTGTGTTGTGAACATATATGAATTTATATGCATAGATCAATAAATGATGATCATGGCAAAAGACCAGATCACATCTATGGCAATTGCAATGGATCTATAGTCACTGGCATTCATTCATTCAACTAGAAGTACTACATCATCCTCATAGTCAGAGATTATGAACCTAGTGACTCTGTTATTATTAATGGCCCTTATAAAGTGACAGTTAGAGCTGACAAATACATTGGCATTGGCATTTGACAAATATGTAATAGTTTATTCAAGTTCAGGTCAGATCATGTACTATTGGCTGAGCTGACAACTTCCTCTAAAGGCATTTCTCTTAATTGCTCCTGATCTAACAAATCAATCCGTAGTCAAGAAGCTAACCCAAAACAATACTTTGACCGAGAAGAAAAAGTATAAATACCTCGACATTTTATAGCAATTGAAAGATAACATTTTTCTAGGAGAAATAAAAACCTATACAAGTTCTAACGGACTTTCTCTGTGTTCTTACCTTTTCTCTTATTTAATATCTATTCTCTCTTCATCTCACAACACATATAGAGTAGTTTTTGTTTACTGGAATGTATCTCAACTATTATCTTGGTAGTTTGCTGTAGTATAATTTAGAATCATGAACCATGAGATGTCAAAAAAAAAATCTGTGTTACCTAAGAATACTCGAAATACCTGTGAGAAGTTGTCAAATTTTATTTCAGAAATAGATAAATAAATATCAAACGTATTACATTCCTTTTATTCATAATAGTAGCTCATAGACTAAATAATATCATGTATATATATATATATATATTGCTTAAGTAGTTTGTTTAATTCTAAGATAGCATTGTTAATTCTCAGACACTACCACGTTTATATAATCAAAGAATTATATATCGTAAAGAACTGTGAATGTTATATCACTAATGTGAATAAATACGACATAGTTATATTATCTGAGGAAATGTGTCGATTGAACTTATGACCATTAGTTGTTATTGAATATCTTCGAATATAAATCATTTTATTATAAGCATCTTGCACTTTACCATCTAATAAACGGTGGTATTATTCTAAGTATACTTTTCTACTTGCTATTAACTGCTATTGTAGTCATAATAAATCACCTACATACAAGATATCAATCATCATATAATTTCTCAAATTGTAATTTGAATAACATTATCTGTACAGCCTCAAAATATTCTACTTTTCAATCTCAAACTATCACAACAACTCTGCTCCTATGTTTATAGATTTAAATACCTGCTTCCTCCGCTTTGAAGACGTACTGTATCAACTGCCTATAGAGCAACTTTGGTTTCAACTTATCACAAGTTGCCTCTCATTAAAACAAAAGCGTTGGTTACAAGATTATCTTGCATCAGGCAAATACGATGTGTCTACAAAACTTGTTGTCTCTAAGCCTACAAAAGTCGGAATGAAGCAGAATGAATCACTCAACGCATACAATGAGCAAATCCAACAGCTGAAGAGAAAATTTGACTGTTATGGTAAGACTGCATTCAGTCGTTTTATCGATTATCTCATCAAAAAGATTACCATTACTCGTTGCAACTCTATTCCCTATACTGAGTATCTTTCATCTACCATGACTAGCAACATCAAGAAGCTTTATGCCAAATTGTATAGAAATTCGCATGTTGACAACACCAGCATCTCCATTTGCTCTTCTGCCGGCGCTCTTTAACTTTCCATGGACAGCAATCGTAGCAATGATAACCGAGAAATCAAAAAAAAAAAAAAAAAAAACTTGTTCCATACATCCCAAGAGCAATTATTCAAAGCACGAATGCATAATGGATAAACCGTGTAGAGTAAAAAAAAAAAAGGAAGAATTAGTACTTGTTGTGATCATCTTTCGCATCAATAGTAGGTTTCATGCCTGTAATCAAGCGCACTACATGTTCTTTCCCAAAGTTCTTCTACTCTTGGTAGAATATCAACTTATGGTTTTCAGTTTTGTGAATATTAGAACTTCTGTTTTTTACGAGCTTTTCCAGAGCATTCCGAACATGCTCAATGAGTTTCAGAGCATGCAGTTTTCTTGAAAAGAAGAGTTTCTGTCTTGAGTTCTTATGAGCTCCATTAATCATGAATGAAAATTTTGGGAGCAATAAGCACCTTGACCTAATACAAATAAGATTACAGCCCGTTCTCAGCTATATTTGCCATAAATCATGAAGTATACTCGGATTGTCATAAAATCATGTACAACAAGGAAAGAATGCAAAATGCTACTGCTTGTAACCAAATATAAGTCGCAAAATGATCCTAATGGGCCTTTGTCAGTCTTTTAAACCGATAGGGCTATTGTAGTTCCAGCATGTTGACGTATTAGACTCGCTTTAGCAGTATCAGTTGAACTTGCTGAATATACAGAGCTCAACGTCTCTATGAGTTTCAAACCATGTAGTTTTCAAAAGAAGATGAAATCAAGATGATGATGAGTGCGATATGAATCCAATTGGCCAGTACTTTAAACCTCATGTTCTTTCTGCATTGAATAAAATAGAAACTGACTCTGTTACCTTTAAAGACTGGAAAATAAAAATAAAAAATTGAATGAATCCTTTCGAATGTCACTACTTTTATACGGTAAAGTGCATTCGTATTTGAGCAAGCAAATAAAGACCACAAGTAACTTGACAGAGTTATATATATATTGCGTTGAGGGATCCTTGAAATATAGGTATTCATTGTTGTAAGATACAATTACGCTTTCATACAAGAGTTATACTCGGAAACTGCATGTACTTTTCGCCTTAAATCTCTATCAATTATACTCACCAAAGCTCTTCAATTTTGTTAAATACTGGGATTGTAAGCTATTCATCCACATAAACAAATTCAGTGTATTTATATTCATTGGAAGAAGAATCAGTAGCCTAGATAAATTTGTCATTTTCAACATTTTATCCATTAATGTAAGTTCTTTATGTTACAATGAACTCTTGGCCATCTTGAAAATGAATAGAACAAAGCAATCTTGAGTCAAGATCAGATTCCTATTGTTACAAGAGATGTCAACTACCATTTGAATGCTTGTCAAAAATTCTTATTTTCTTTTTTTTTTCGATTTTTTGTTTTTATTTAGAATGTCAACTCTTGATTTTGAGGTAACCAATACACGATCCATCGCTTGTATTTGCTAATAACAAATAGGTTACTTCACCTCCTTCTGATAGTATCTCTGATCTTGCTTTCTCACCACAAGCGGATATCTTAGCTGTTTCTTCCTGGGATGGTGGAGTAAGTTGACTCGATCGACAAGATTGTCGCGCTTATTGATACTTGTTTTTCTTAGGTGAGAATATATCAAGTCGAGCCTACAGGAAATACAGTGCCCAAAGCTTCTTACAATCATGAAGGACCCGTCCTTTGCGTCGATTGGGCAAAAGTAAATAATCGTTTGATGATCACTTGTATAAACTTGTTTGTTATTAGGATGGTAGCCATGTCGTATCGGGTGGCACAGATAAAGCAATTCGCATGTATGATTTGAATACAGGACAGAGCACCCAAATAGGTGCTCATGATGAACCTGTCAAAGCAGCAAAGTTCCTTGATGGACAAAACGTTTTAGCGACAGGCAGTTGGGATAAGACATTGAAATATTGGGACTTCAGATCGCCACAACCTGTGGGCACTGTGCAATTGAACGAGCGATGTTATGCAATGGATACGCGAGGTAACTTATTAGTGGCTGCTACAGCTGATCGCCAGGTACTTGTTTTTGACTTGAGTAATCCTACAACCATCTTTAAACAAAGTGTTTCCCCATTAAAATGGCAAACACGTACAGTATCATGTTTTATTGATGGTAAAGGTTATGCGATTGGATCTATTGAAGGACGTCTTGGTATACAGTATATTGATGAACAAGACGCAGCGTAAGTGCACTCATATAGCTGAGTTATGGCTTACATTGTATAGTAAATCCTTCTCTTTCAAATGTCATCGAGATGAAACAAAAAATGTGTATGCAGTTAATGATATCTCATTCCATCCTATCTATGGCACCTTCTCAACTTCAGGTGCTGATGGCACAGTGAGCTATTGGGACAAGGACTCGAAGCAACGGTTACATACATTGCCAAAGGCAGGCACAACTATTCCTTGTACTGCTTTTAATCGTACTGGTAATATCTTTGCTTATGCAGTCAGTTATGATTGGACAAAGGTAAGCCCTCAAAAAAAAAAAAAGATCTTAACGTATTATTAGGGTCATCAATTCTATAGTACAGAAGGTCAAATCAACAAGATTATGCTTCACGCTGTTAAAGATGAAGAAATCAAGCCTCGTGCTAAAAAATAAATAAAATACCCCTTATTATTGTTATTTAAGCAGTTAGGAGTAGTCTGATTTTGCCTTTTCTTTCTTTCTTTATATGCATTCAAACTCGCTTTGTTCTGTTCAGGATCCATACCGTAATAGGTGTTCTACAAAAGGTGAACTAGATAGGTACTCAATCCTTTTTAAGTTGTTTAGTACACTTTAGTAATACGCTAAACAGGCAAATCACGGTTTCAACCTGAGCCTGGGAGAACTCATTCTTATTTACCGTACACAAATCATGCCCCTGATTTTATTCAGTCAAGAGCTGCTCTTTATGTAGAAGATGATGATGCACACACTATTACATCCAGTGTACAAGTAGACTTGGCAGAACAACTCAATGAACCTACTGAGTTGTATGATACAGGACCTATATCTCATATTGTCTTACCAAAGAAGAAGCAGACAAGCAAAAAGAAATTATGGGCTTGCTTTATCATTGTCTTATTTGTCATCCTTGTCGTTATTGCTTATTTTTCTTGGCCACGCATACCTCGATTGATCATTCAGAATGAAACAGCAGAACGCATTGGAGACCCTGTTAACTGGGGACCACAACATCAACCATGGCTTAAAGCTGCCTGGCAATTTAATGTTACATTAGACAACCATATGAACTATGTGCCTACACGTATTCAAGAGATTCAAGTTATCCTTAAAGACCGCGATACACTTCAACCTTTTGCGTGGTCTAGTACAGAATCATTGAAACTAATGCCATATCAAACTACAATTCTTCCTATGGTATTTCAAGTTGCCTATACTCCATTGGATATAAATGACACAACATTCAGAAATCTCTATAATGCATGTGGACCACAAATGCCTACAAATCCCCCAGCATTGAACATGACAATACAGGCAAGCTATTTAGTATATATATATATATATATATATATATGTATAAACTAAAAGTACACAATAGGCAATTATCCGTGTTTCGGGTCTTCTATGGCCTTTTATTCTCCATGTCCCTTCATCAGATATAGGAGGGTTGAGCTGCCCTTCCAATTAATAAAATCAATAATTAAATCTACACTGCTTTTGGTTTTTCAGGAATAGAAAACATTGTTCGTCTGGTTGGTCTAAACAACAATGATGTTAGGTCAAATCATGTACAAAAAATGCTTACGTTGATTGAGATGCAGAAAGAGGAAAAGTACCAGCTTCTCTTTTCTTCCATTCATGAACAGTAGGTTGGTATTCAAACTTGCGTTGTGGAATCAGATATCGTTTAGGCTGATAAGAGTCTACGCTATAGCGACGCTCGGGCCGATGATAACTACCTGCTTCGAACCAGTCAATGATTTCTTCCACTCTTGATTTCTTAGTATCTGTAGACGAAGAGCTCCATACTGTACTTTGTGAACACGTCGATAGACTTGGTGAAAGTTGAGGTAAATTATCAAAGGGGTGACAAAATTCAATGCTGTCTGAAATGGATATCGAATAATGCCTTTTTTTCTTCTTGCAACAATCAGTCTGTACTGGACTTGAACAGATATGATCAATTAGACTTGTTATCTCTTCTTTATCTTTGATCAGTAATGGTGGTGGTAGTGGTGATATAGAGTGTTTAGGTGCTATTCGTGTTGGTTTGAAATAAAAGGGTATGATGAATTCATTCACAAAATAGTCTAGAGATAAATTAGTCAAAGGGTGTAATGTTTGCTCGTAGCGTACCAAAATGGTAGTTTATAAAAGCAGTAAAAAACGATTCAGGCATTGAAAACAATAGTCTAAAGAGATCATTAGTCATTGGAATTTTGTGTTGACTAACGCATTAAGATATTACATGGACTGTATGAAGATAATGGCATTAATCATCATATTACATCAAAGAAAGAAAAGAAAAGTAAATTTTCTCGACCCTGACAATTAAACTTGTAAACTTTTTTCGTGCATTCAAAGTTACCAATTAAAACTGACTTTTATGAGCTTTTTTTTTATTTGTGTTACAAAATGCTGATCTCTTGATTTAACAATAAGACTATGACGTACATATACACTAATTATTATAGACTACTATTAATACATTTCTGGCAGACTGTATGTGCATATATCTATCTTTTATTTATTAAATTAAACTGTTGTTTCTAAGGCCTTCAAAGTCAATTCATACCATTTGTCATAATATGATCAATTTCAAGTAGGCTATTATCATGGCATTCGTGTGCATAACATCAATAAAAAAATGGACGAGACTAGTTTGTAAAGTTTGTTAGTAACTTTCAGCCATTTGATCTTACATTACATTTCATGAGGAGAATAGATTTAAAATTCGCTAAATAAATCAAACCTTTAAACCCACGTACTATAAGACATGCTTACAATTTTCTATTGCTCGTCGAGCCAACAGGGTTCATCTTTGCTTGTTGCGACAGGCTATGTGCTCACCTTTGTTCCTATCATATTAGCTTTTTTCTATAGTAATACACACTTTCTTACTCGAATTGATATATATATATCAAGGAATAAATGTTCTCCCACAGCAATAGTTTAGAGATCACATGCTTTCTTGCTTTAAATTTCATGGCTCTGATCAGTATATACTTACAATGCAAACTCAGGAGTGATATTTTCCATAATTGATATTAACCAAATAATAAACCCTATAGAAAAAAAGGGCAACACCTCCCTCCACTCATAAATATATAGTATTCAGAGGGGCTGTAAGTATTTCATTAGAGAAATAATAAAGGAAAAAAAGCATAATTCAGTTCTAGCTCTTTTCAGCACAAAATTGAAAAATGATATATTTATATATGTAATGGCTCTCGCACAAAACGTAGTTGATTTAACCAATATTGAGTATGGGCTCATAAAAAACAGGCAAATAGACAGAATTTATCAGCCCCGTAGAGGAAGCACAAAGCCTATTTATACTCGAACAAGTACTCAAAGTACTCACAAATAGTGTTTACTAACATACAGGGTATCTTTGATGTTGATTTGGACAAAAAAAGCAACTTATAAAATAGTCATTTTCATCTCAAAACCAATGGGTACTTACTCATGAAAATTATCTGTTTGACAACCCCTTGAGCCTCTTTTTGATGCTACAAGACGAGAAATAGAGCGATTGACAAGCTTAGATACTCAAAATGTGTGTCAAAAGCTTTAGTTTCTCGCAAGTGTGTTTGCTTAACAGTTGTGCTATAAAAATAATGAGATATGGACAGAAAACCCTGTAAACATTTTTGCGTATTCACTCAATATTTTAGCAGCAAAGCTGTTGTACTTTTTATATCGCAAACTGCCATCTGGTATGTTCTACATTCATTTAGTCCACATTCGTATTATAAGAATGCCTATTTCTTTCTATATCTCCATACTTCTTAGTACTCAAGACAATATAAGATGCTTCAGAGAGATCCATTAATTGCAAATTCTATATGGTACTTAGAGCAAAAACGCTCAAAACACAGCTTGAACGCACCATTCTTTAAAGTACCATTACTCGACAACCAGACTACCAAACGGCTTCTCTTTTTATTCGAAACATGTTCTTTGGAGTCTAGCAATCAAATGGTACCATTGGTTTGGCTGTCAGATGAAGTTCATTTTTTTTGACCTATGGGAGGTTCAGGGAGGTTCGTAAAGATGAAGAATTTTTCGGAATGACCCAATGTAGGTCTGATCCAACTGAAACCAGATAAGGCAATGTCTGAGTACTTCTAAGAAAAAGAAAGCGAATTTACTAAGATAAAAAAAAAAGGCCAGTTCATTTGAGCATTGCTTTTAAATCTATATTCAAAGTTCATTGTACACTGTAATTAGTACAAAAGAGACCCTTTTCAATAGGTATTGACTAGCAAGTAGGTACTTCTCTATACATTATCTGATGTGCAGAGTATTTCTAGGTAAGATCTACTATAATAATGGACACTCTGGGGTTAAAAAGAATAGTTTTGCAAAGGTCAAATGATGAATATTATGCAAAATGAGCGTTTGGCGTTTTAAACACCGATTGTCTTTTCGCCTTGCGTACAAGCTGCCCTTTGGTTCTTTTTCTCTACACCTACGAAATGAAATCTCATTTTGATCGAGTTGATAGAAATAAGAAAAATAACAAAAAGACTAGTAACAGCATCATTATGGTTTGGCATGTAAATTATACTCCGATTAACTCATACTGGTGATGAAGGACTACAGTAAAGCAACAGGACTGAGTGAATAAGTCATTATATAAATAGGATTCAAGCATTTCAAGCCTATTTGTATCCGCGACTAAAGATGAATAGACAATGCATAATCAGGATACGTCTTTGACCAGTTTTTATGTTTGTGGCATGCAATTAGCAAGTATTTCTTCTCTGTCGTATCCACACAGAGTATGTTGAGACCTATTTAAACACTCATTAGTAGCGACAGTGTGCGTCTATATAGCCATTGACATGTCATACAAGCAATAGATGCAGCCAAAAAGGTTTTCTGAGTTTAAATATTCAATATCGACGTCACAAATTTCTGCACCTCATTGTAAAAAAAAAAACGCGTTTCTTTCTCTTGTGTGATAATAAAATATTTTCTTTCGTTCTTCACTTGAAATATTTTGATAATGTGTATGTATTTCGCATAGAGTAGTCCATATTAACTCTGTATCATAGCTTTCGGTTTCGGAAACACAAACACAAACAAACCAGCAACTGGATTTAGCTTCGGCACTTCTTCCAGTACGTGTTGACGCGATAAAAGTAACATGTAAATAACAATTTCTATTTGTTTTTAGCTTCCACCACACCTGGATTTGGTGCTTCAAGCACAACGCCTGCCGCTACAGGAGGTTTTGGAGGTTTTGGAGCTTCTAACGCTTCTACAACGCCTGCTGCATCAACTGGATTTGGTGGATTCGGTGCACCTGCTACTTCCACGCCTGCTGCTGGTGGCGGTGGATTTGGTGGATTTGGTGGATTTGGTGCAACACCCGCTGCTACCTCTACCCCTGCTGCATCAACTGGATTTGGTGGATTCGGTGCACCTGCTACTTCCACGCCTGCTGCTGGTGGCGGTGGATTTGGTGGATTTGGTACAACACCCGCTGCTACCTCTACTCCTGCTGCTGGTAGTGGATTTGGTGGATTCGGTACAACACCTGCTGCTACTTCAACAGCTCCCACTACAGGATTTGGCGGTTTCGGTACTTCTGCTACCTCTGCAGCTCCTGCTACGACTGGATTCGGTGGTTTTGGTACTCCTGCTGCCTCTACTGCCACCACTTCCACTGCTGCTGCACCTGCTGCTAGTGGATTCAGTGGTTTTGGAACACCTGCTACTTCTACACCTGCTACAACCACGACAGGTGGATTTGGTGCTGCTGCTGCTAAACCTGCTACACCTAGCTTTGGTGGATTTGGTACAACGCCTACAACGCCTACAGCAACAACAACAACATCTTCTTTTGGCGGTTTTGGTACACCTGCCAGCACAGCTACTGCTGCCACAGGCGCTACGACTGGATTTGGTACACCTGCTTCTACTACAACAACAGCGCCTAGTCTTGGTGGGTTCGGTGCTACAACCACTTCTAAGCCTACACTTTCATTCGGTACATCTACTGCCACGTCTACACCTGCTACTTCAGCACCTGCTGCTGCTTCTACACTTTCCTTTGGTGGATTTGGACAAAAATCAACAGGTATGTGATATATGTGTGTTGATGCGTGCTTATGTTCATCTCTATGTAGCTACTACAACTTCAACTACTACTCCAACTACAACCACACCTTCTACACCAGCCAGCACTACACTTGGTAGCAGTTCCAACTTGACGACACAGCCTACGACTGCCAAGCCTGTTTCTGTCCCTACACCATCTGCATTAAAAAACAAATCTATGGAAGATATACTTAATTTATGGACCAAAGAATTAGAAAAGCAAACCAAGGACTTCCATAAACAAGCAAACCAAGTCGCTGAATGGGATCAACAACTCATTGAAAACGGCAACAAGGTAAAAAAAAAAAAAAAAAAAATAATAATGACTTGCTGAATAAACCCTAAGCGCTAATGCATATAGATTTCTGCCTTGTATGAAAATGTGAGCAAGGTTGAAGTGACCCAACGCGAAATTGACCAAAACTTGTCTTATATCAATGCACAACAAGAAGAATTGAACTCTATCCTTGATAACTATGAAAAGCAAATCAAGGAGATCTTTGACGAGAATAACTTGCAACAACCTATGCAACCTGCTGATGTGCAAAGAGAAAAGGCTTATGGTTTGGCTGAAAGTCTCAATAGTCAATTAGATGATGTCAACAGAAACTTGAATATCATGGTTGAAGAGATCAACAAGATGGGTAATTCTAAACAAATCACTACGGATGAAGATGATGCTGTAAGTTTTCTGTGTCTATTTATTGATTTACTGACATATCATGATAGGTTGGCCAAATTGTTCAAATCCTTAATGCTCACTTGTCTTCTTTGCAATGGATTGATACTCATTCCATGAAGTTACAAAGCAAGATTCAAGAAGTTACAAAGTTGCATGAAGATGTTGCCAGAGAACAAGAACCTTCTTTACGTAGATAATTTTATTTTATTTTGTTTAACGACCAATTTCAGATAAAGCTTTCTTGAGTTCTTCACTCTCATGATCAAATCTTAAACCAGTCTGAAAGGCTTCAGCTGCTTCTTCAATTCTTGCAAGGCCAACCAAGGCTTTTCCTTTTCTAAACCAACCCTTGCTCCATTCGCGTTTTAAACGTGTCACCATTTCAGCATCAACATAAGCCTCCACATAATTCTTTAGGGATAAATAAGCAGCAGATCGATTACTCAAGACAGGTGCTAATTCTTCTCGCACGTATTGAAAAGCCAAAGGTTCCCAAAGAGGACGTGACCAAGACAGATCAACAGCCATCGTATAAAAGCGAATAGCTTCAGGGAAATTGTTTTGTTTAAAGTACTTGTTGCCTTCTTCCTTGAGTCGAGTGACTTGGGCGTTACGTGTTGGGTTAGGTGCATTGGGAGGTGGCAAGTCTTTGACGTGTTTCAAAGTAGAGGCTAAACTGTTATGCTCTATCCAATCGACTTCACACTTGCTGCACTTTTCTAAACCGTGTTCTTTACACAGTATCTTGTCTCCGTCACTAGAGACACTTACTTCAGGTTGAATATAGACACTTGTCATGAGATGAGAAAGAAAGAAAAAAAAAAAAGCGAAATAAATAAGGTGCTCTATTTTTTTTTTCTTTTCTTTTTTTCTTTTCTTGACCACTTAAAACATGCCATTTCATGAGGTACAAAAAAGTAATATAAATTCCTGTCATTTTAAAACTTGCATAGACAGATGATCTTGTGGACCAAGTAAACAAGGTAAAAATAAAGGGGCTTCTTTATAAAGCAAAAACTCATTGTATTCTAGGAGAAATGTCTTGTGGGATTTCTTGATTTGCCTATCAGTTACAGAAAAAGGTACCGAAAAAAAAAGTTTGTTACTAGGCTGACAGATGTTTAGTCCAGACTTTGATCTCATCATTGACTATTATCATGTGAGTGATTTACCTCATGATCTTTTCAAATGGGCGTTTCATCTCGTCAAATCAAACATGTATACCATGTAAGCACTTCACCATCACGCCATGGTTTATTTAGATGTCTAGGTATGATGAGTCTTATACTGGTTGGAATGAGCTAGGAAAAAGACATGAGATGCTTGAACCTCAAACACGTTATTTAATAGCAAGGTCAAGTACAGATCCAACAGACAAAAAAGGGTTCTTGTCTTTTCAGATGACTAGAGAAGAAACCTTGGACGACTATAAGATGGATAATACTGCTTATTGGTATGTTGACCATTCTCTTCCTAAGGTCTCTCATACGTTTCATAAGTTATGAGATTCAGATAGAACCCCATGCTCAAAACCAAGGATTAGGTGACTATCTCATGAACCTACTCTATCAAATTGGGTGTCATTGGAAGATGGATAAAGTGATGCTTACTGTATTTAAAGGTATAATGCTGTGATATTTATGTAACTAAGAAAGACACATAGCAAATCAAGGTGCTTTTCGCTTTTATACAGACAAACTAGGGTAAGACTAACACCTATTATCTTTTCATTGATCAATCTTGGTTAGATTTGAACTCGATCCAATTTCTCCAAGTACCTGTTTACCACTGTATAGAGCAAAAAAGTTTGATTATGACTTATTAAGCAAACCTTGTCAACACCATTGAATTCAATATCAGATAAAGCTCTCTTTCTCTCTTTTTTTCTTTTTTTTACCTTTTTTTTTTTTAAGTATTCTTCATATGGACGCAGAACAGATTCGAGATGGTGTAAAGAATATGCAGCAAGGCGATAAAGCGTATGCACACTCTTTTATAGCCCGAGATATTAATACACTTTAGTGCTTCTAAAGGCTTATTTAGAAAACCAGACTGGGATCTTGCTGCTAGTTATTATGAACGTGCAGGCAAGAATACATGAGATAAGCTACTGTACACTGACATGTTGAATATAGCTACTAACTTTAAGATTGCAAAGTCCAATGACCAAGCAGTCCAGGCTTATATCAAAGCTTCAGACGCTCTTTCTAAAGCAGACGCGTAAGTGTAGCTTGATATGTCTCTCATTGATAGCTGACTATGCTCCAGTATTCATTTGGCTGGTAAAGCACTTGAAAATGCTGCCTTTATCTTGGCACAAAACTTGAATCAACCTCAACGTGCTGCTGAACTCTATCAACGTGCCAGTAATTATTTTATGACACAAGGTAAGTTGTACTCACAAGGCATTGTATCTAAGCTCTCCTCTAGGTAGCATTGACCGTGCTGCTGAACAACTAGAAAAGGCTGGAAGGTAAACGAAAAAAAAAAAAAAAAACAAGAGAGTTGACTCAATGCATTAGAGCACTTGAAAATGTAGATGTCAATGCATCCTATGACATGTACAGTAAAGCTTGTGCTATTTATGAACAAGAAGACAGAGGAAGATTTGCAGTAGAGATCTTTAAAAAGGCTATTTCTTTACTGATTCGAAACAAAAAGTAAGTTAGTCTATGTCATCTCGATCATTGATGTTGTGTCAAGATACGACAAGGCCATTGACATGTTGAAGCGCCAATCTGTTGTACTTCAAAAATTTACCAGTCGATCCCATCTCTACAAAGCCAATCTTAGTATTCTTGTGTTAATATTTGCTATTGGTGATGATGTTGAAGCAGGCAAACAATTCAGTTCGATGTGCGGGTAAGTAGAGACATACACACCATGTTATGTGCTTATACACACAATAGAAATGATGCTGGATTTGCACAGAGTGAAGAAGCAGAGATTGCTGAAGATTTACTAAAGGCTTATGAAGAAAGAGATCAAGAGTTGTTGGAAAAGACAGTTCGCTTACAACATATGTCATTCTTGGATAATGAAGTAGTCAAATTGGCTCGATTGTTGACTGTGCCTGGTGAAGTATTGTCTTCCACTACTAGTCCTCGACGAGATCATTACAGCCACACCAATAAAAACATGACAGACAATCAACAAGTATACAACATGCCTCATGCTCAAGCAAGAGCTGAACTCTACAGTCATGACTTGAGCAACGAACTCAAGACAAAAGACTATTACAGTGATGAAGATGAAGAAGGACTGCGATAATCGGAATATAAAACTGCTTGTTGCATGAGAAATAAAGTGATCATTTCTTTTTTTTCTATTATTTGTTTGCACTATGATGACTACAGACAAAAGATTTCAAGTACAAACTTGTCAATTTTTATCCAATCCTTCATTAGCCATAAAATACCATCAAAGTTCTCCTGATGCTATTCCTGTTGTATTTATGGGCTCAAAGACGTCCAAGACAACCATAGGAAGAGGTCACGACGCGACTGTCCAGATTGGCAAGTCGAACAAACGGGTTTCTAGGGAACATGTTGTTATTGAGCATAAACCCAATTTTAATGGCTATGAATTGACTATTTTATCGCCTAATGGTGCCTTGATAGATCATATTATTTTTATTGAAGGGGAACATGTGCCTGTGATGGAAGGAACGATGATTGAAATAGTAGGCACAAGGCTGATATTTAAGGCACCTAAAGAAGAAACCATGGTGATAAAGCAAACAATGGAAAAAAGAGTGCAAAAGAAAGGGCATTGTCTGTCGAACGAGATAGAGACAGCCGTATGCCATGAGTCTAACCTGCTTGTCAAGACAACAACAAAAGTGAAAAAACGTACACTAGAAGATCAAATCATACAGACATTAGGTAAACAATACACACCAGCTGTATCCTTATAGACTGTCTATAGTTTATACACGCAAATCTACCATGACATGCAGTGATATTGCAAACAGAATAGAAGGACATGCTAGGATAGACATCATCAACACATTGATCCATTCACCCTTGATTGGATGCATTAAACGACTGGGTAAAACGGCAGATGGATCACCTAAAGAAGACTTGTATTATTACAAAGCAGATGTGGATCAGAATCAAGAACGAAGGAAGCGATATTCAGACATTGGTAGAAGTGCAAGGAAATGCACAATGAAGGATACTCAGTATTATTTCAAGGCAAGTGTGTGTAGATCAAACTAAAGGCACACTCATAAATTAAATTTTAGATTCCACCTAAATTAAATCATCATAAATCAAAGCATACAGTCAGTATGCGATCCAAAAAGAAGGCAGAAATCAATCAACGCCAGGATGAAGATGAAGTAGGATCAAACAGCAGTGGTGATGTGAGTGATATGGAGGTGTATGAGTTATTTAAAGATGTGTAATAAATGATGTTAGCTAAAGCATCTTGCCCATTGTTCATCAGGCACAAGAGACCCAAATAAATCCTTCATGTGTCCTCCAAGCTAATCATATCAGTCAACACGGATTGAGTTCAAATTACTTTACCAATTCAAGTTCACGAATAATATTCTCCATCAAGACAACATAAGCATAATAAATCATATAAGGTTCATCTTGTTTCTCTTCTGGCCAGGTTCGCATATGCTCTTCTAAATGACTAGGAATATGTTGTAGTTTCTTCATCAGTTGCTGTCGTGCTTTTTCAGCAGGTGGTAAATAAGGTGGTAAAGGTGTCTTGAGTTGAAGTGCTGAAGCAAGCAGGTAGAAATAAAGAAACACATTACCTGCCATTTCCATGAATTCGTTCGCTGCAGGTGTAAGGAAATTACGTCGAACATGAATAGCCCATACGTCTTTCAAGATGACGATTCGCATCGCCAATAGTTTGTCGAGAATGTTTTGACAGCATGTAAGCATGGCACTATATGTCTTGACTGGGAAGGGTCCTTTCAGGCGAGGTTCATTAGGTGCATGAACCAGTAGTGTTTGGAGGTTAAGAAGTTCGACTTGGATACCAAGTTCAATCTTCTGAAGGACACTGGCTCTTGCTCTGTTGGGCTCTATCAAGATAGAGAGAGCATTGGTCGAGGTGGCTTCATACACATTGTCTTCTGAATAAACGGATACAAGTTGCTTATAAAGCCAAGAGAGTCGTAACAGTAAATCCGAAAGCCCTTTTCTTACTTGAGTACGAGCCTCGTAAGGCCATACATAAGCAGTAACAAACAAACCAATCAAGACACCCAAAGATACAGCAAGGCATCGAGTCCAAGTGAGTTCAAAGACATCAAAACTAGCATCGTCTCGATGGTTGAATTTGTACAACACAATCAGATTGTAAGCAAGCAACGAGAACAAACCAAATCGACCATGCTTATGATTCAGAATCATCCAGAAGCTGGGGATTGAAACCAACCAAGTCCATAACCAGAGCATAAATGTATTATGCTCAAAGAGCGTATAAATAACGGCTGCCAAGAAGCAAGCAATGATAGTGGCCAAGATACGAAGGATAGCACCTAAATTAGTTCCTCCTACCGTGGGCGTCATGACAGCCATCACAGTGACAAGTGTCCATTCCATCTTGAGATTGGTGAAATAGGGTCGTGTGAGAGGAATGAAAGCCAGGACAGATATCAGTTCTGCTGTCAACATCGACTTGAACGCAAATTTGACATGATGGCTTCTGAATTGAGAAAAAAAGCCCCAAAGACTGAGAAGAAATCTTCTGATGTTTGTCTTGGGCGATGGTGTATGCAGTGTGTTGAATGTGTTTGAATTGTTAGGTACAAAACTATGCATGTTTTGAGCCATCATTTTTTCACTTTGACTATAATAATCTAAAGCAGGTTGTCTTTGTCAATAAAGTTAAGATTTTCTTGCTACTTGCCTAATTTTCTAGTCCACAGATAGCGTGTCCATGCAAACACACTTTGGCTACGGTCTAATTCCTCCATATCTTCAAATACATACTGTACACTTTCTACAAGCGTCATCAACTCTTTTGCGAATTCCAAGAGACAAAATACAAAAAAGTAAACGAGATAAACATCATCCACTGGAAATTCATGTTGTGCTAAAAACAAGGATTGTATCTGATCTATATCGTTCGTCTTGAGCTTTCTCTTGTAGAACCAGATCAGAGCTTGATGTTGCGAAGTCTCAAATAAGTCAACAGCACTAGCCAGATTTTGTCGCATCATTTGAAAGGAAGGTGTTGACTGTGTTGTTTTTTGCATAAAACGTGCTTGTAAATGGATGATGGTTTGCTTACAAGTGTAAGCAAGCGATTTCATAGGTGATCTAACGGAACCAATAAACTGTACAAGTGCACCTCTTTCGTCACTTATTCTTTCTCTTTTGAGTTCGGATTCCATTCTTTTTCTCTGAGGTCCTGCCTTGACATTCAGGGCTTCTTTTGCATGTCGTTCAAAGTTTGGTTGTTGATCTATGATTGAACCGTATTGTTTAGGATGAAGGAACTGATGCATCACTTCTACTTGTAAACCACAGCTACTTTTAAGTCCTCCTACATGTTGTGCCAACCGTTCTAGACTCTCTACAATATGTTGATATCCTTGAGCATGGTGCTTCATTTCAAGGTTGTAAAATTCAAGGTTTGCCTCTTTGAGGGCTGACTTGAGTGTAGTAAAACTTGCTTTATGGGTCTTGAAAGCATTTTCTAAAGTGGAATTGGCTGTAAATTCCGGAAGATCAGTATCTAACAAGAACGTCTTTGTCAAGAGTTTAAGTAAGACTCGGGTAGATGAAAGACTTGAATCGATAGTTGATCTAACAAGTAAAGTCAGTCCAATGTCAATGTGTCTTGAATCTACTTTAGTTTTTGGGACGCAGTCATGGGCCAAATAAAAATACACACTGCAACTGAGATGGCTGTGCCAATGGCTACAATTGAAAATGTTTCAGTAATGATATCTTTGGTAAGTTCAGTTTCATCTCCTGAACCTTGTCGAACAATCACTGTAAACAGGATGATAAAAGCGAGGCCAGAAGCTAAAGAATTGTAAATGAAACGAACAACATCGTTTAGGATGGAACACTACCTGTCAGCACGCTTGGCGTATTTATCTTTGACTTCAAGTAAGAAATAAGAAAAGTACTTCCTGCAAGCCAAATACCGAGAGAAAAAGCATAGGCCGTGATGAGTTTGTCATGATCAATAAAGTAATTGGTGGTATACATACTTGCCAAGCTCAATGCGAGTGCAGCACTTGTATATAACCAGCCAAAACCTGCAGCTTCAATCATGCCACCTACTGTCTTTGCCGGATTAAAAAAGACAGTGACAGTGGCAGCCAAATGACTTGCCACATGCGTACCGCAAAATGAATGGAACCAAGGAACAAATGTAAACAAAGAGCCAATGGTATATGCAAAACTACATTTCAACACCATTTTTTGTTTATGGGACAGTGTCAAGTATTGGCTTTGAAACTTGGTCCATCTTTGTCTGTAACTTTTAGAATGCTGTTGTTTTGTTTTTCTCTTTGATTTCATGCTTTCTTCATTGTCATCCATGTCAGAAGAAGATGACTCATCAAATGAATTGTTTCTTTTATCTTTTAGAAGGCTGCTCGTCTCGTCTGAACTAAATAAATGTCAAAGTGCTGCCAATACCATGTTCAATTTACCTTTGTATCCATGTATCTACAAAAGATGTGCTGTTAAGTTGAGGAATCGTAGACAGTGAGATAGTGCGTTTTTGTCTTGAGCCATCGTCTAAAATAACTTCATATGTGCTTGCATTATCAAAATAGTTTGTTGAAGAGACTGTCCTTGAAAGATAGTGAGGTTCGCTTTTAGCACTTAATTGAGATGGTGATGGTGGTACAATATCTGTATCAATGTTTGGGTTCCATCTTGACCAATTATCTTCTTCTGCTATGCTGTTTGGCATTGATGCAGTAAAATAAGCTGAAGAACGATAAGAAGACCCTACATCACTAAACTGTGTTGATGTCACAACGTATGCGTTTAATGGTCTTGGTTCGCTATTGAACAAAACTGAAATACCAGAAGGTTTTGCCTTTGTTGATCTCAAAGTTGACTCATCTTGACTGTCCAAGTGAGTTAAAGAAGACATGTTGAATAAAAGACAAAGAAAAAGAAAGAGAAAAAAAAAGATACTTCTTAAGGGGCAAGTTTTGATTTTAAAGACAAAACCAAATGATGCTTTAAAATAAGGTACATGAATCATAGCCATGAATAGAAACCTTTCTTTCCTTTTTGCTTATACTTTACCTCTTGAGTGTCTTTGTCTTTTCTCACTTGGTTTGCTTATTATCGTTTTACTTTGATTTGAGACTGAATGGTATTACAACCAAAAAAAAAAAGCCATTTGATCACTCAGGTATAATCAGTTGACACTTTATTTAATCAATTTGAATATTATCAAATGTCATCCCCCTTGATTTCCTTTTTAGTACAACTTGTCACCTCCCTTCTGACCAGATGAAAATAAATCACAATGATTTACAAGTGGCTTAAGGAGTTACTTTGAATCTTGAACACGTACTTGTTTATTTTCCTTCACTTTCGTTTATTCTTGTTGCAATCAATAGGCCTTGGATGCGAGGGCCATGCTGAAAGTGGGGGCATATATATCATCCGACTACCAGGACCTAAGAGCCTGCAATGGGCGGCCCTGCTCTGTATACTGTGCTTTAGCATGAGAAGCGATTCTTTCTCCATGCTGTTAGTGTAAGCTGACTGCAGTATCATTCAGCGTATGTATAATACTCATATTACTTAAAATACATAACTGCTGTTATACGCGCCGACAGATATGAATTTTAGCAAGTTAAGTACACATCAAATGCTTTTTGCTCATACAAGCAAAAAAAAAAAAAAAAAAAAAAAAAAAAAAAAAAAAAAAAAAAAAAAAAAAAAAAAAAAAAAGAGAAAAGGAAACTCTCCTAAAAACCAAAATTGTCACTACTAGAAATTACTAAGGAATAAAAAGGGATGACTAATTGCGTAATACTTTTTAAAATAACATGATAGTATTATTAATAGATGTTAAAGAGGAAATGATTGAAAAATCCATTCTCTCGGGCTTGTTGCTAAAGAACCCAAAAAAAGCCTGTTTCATTATTCCAACAGTGAAGCATGCAATCGCCATACGCTTATGGCGAAGTTCATGTTTAAGTCTCTTTACAATTTCCATACAGGCTAAAATGAGAGCAGTAGTCATCATCTATGTTAATCGATACCGCACAAGTACATATACTCACGGCTAATCAAAAACAATACTTGCTTGAGTTCAAAGATAGGCTTTCCTTTAATCAAACAAAAAATCATTATTCAGGCCAACTTCCTTCCTTTTTTTGGGGATTCATTTTAATTCTACTTAACATAATTAGTGTATTTGGGACAAGTTTAACATAACAAGTCAAGAGACGAAATAGAGCGCTTTGTGATTAAGAAGCAATTACAACAAAAAACAAGCTGATTTTATTGGCATCTTTCTTCGTTGACTGTTGAAGTCCTGCATGTGCTAATGCCGAAGACAGTTTTCACAACATCAAAATCTAGCAGTTGCCAATTTGATGCTGCGTCTTGCTTGCTTTTTATGCAGTGTTTTTTCGTAAAGGGCTGCAATATTGTATAAATGGTTAATGCTAGAGTCGAAGTTAGCGTATTCTTCGTAAGTCAAAGGAAGAACCAAACTTCCAACCTCTAGCATTGAGCACATTTCACCGACAAGAGAACACAAGAAAAACTTCGTACTCTACCCTAGTTTTTTTTTTGTTCTTCGTTAGTTTATTCTTATCATTTAGCTTAGCTATGATATGTGTGCTGTACCTAGGTACACTTGGAAAACCATTGTGTTTTCCAAGTCGTATTTTCAGAGTGAGCTAAGTCCAAAAAGACCAAGATAGTACGTATTCAGAACGATATCATCAGCGGACGCATTTGACTGCTTGATTTTACTTATCACATTTACAAAACTTGCGCCTTCTTGAACGAGATTGTCAAAATAATGTTTGACATTGGCACAGGCAACAATTCAGCCGTAGCCAACAAAGCATCTTCTTCAACAGAAGATTGTTTATAATAAACGAATTCTTTTTTCTTGTTGTTGTGTAAAGGATAGCATTCATAAATTTACTAATTGAATACAATATCTGTATACTTTCTAAAGTCTATGAGGAAGTCTATTTGATGAATTTAACAGTGTCGAGTCATAGTTGCGTGAATAAGTAATGTGCTACCAAATTGTTTATTCTTATCAAAACATGCTTGACGCATTAAGCTGGTGAGTCAAGTGCGCTTTATGGACCGAACTACTTCATTTTCTTGAATTATTTGATTGAAATTAATAGCCTAGGTGAGTCAAAGGTAGAAACTACAGCTTTATCACAGAGATGGGATTTCTTTAATGAATTCATTGGGTCATTTAATTCAAAGAAAGACTATGAACTCAAAGTGAATCTACAGTGTACTGCCTTTTCTATTCTCAACATGACAAAGCAATAATAATTTTACCGCATTTACACAATAAATCTATATCGTCTGCATTGAGGCGGATCTACCAATCATCTTCAAAGTAAAAAAAAAAATTCTTTGCACAGCGTAGGCATATTTTAAAAGTCAACACAATCTCGAAAAAAAATATATTTTTTGTTTTCACATCATGTCCATATCTTCTCTGCTCAGAAAGTCGCTACCAAAACCAAACAGCAAGTTACTACATCATATTCCCAAGCGCAAAAACTTTTTACTAGCACCTGTACTGGCTTATAACATCGACGTCAACTGTCGACACGAAGTAGCAGTATGTCCTCAGCAATCCAACACAAACAAAATATTGAAAATGAGCAAACTCTGGCTTCAACTACAACCACCCATGCGTATGTTACACACCACGCCTCAACCACCTCGTAAAGAAGAACTACTAGCCCAAGCCCGAGGATTTTTTGATAGACTAAAGATCCGTATCAAGTATCCGCTTATGAGACAAATTAGACCGTGGACACTTAATGACGCAACAGCTTTGTTCTCCTGGCTATTTCTCGGTCATACTGTTTGGTTATTGGTAGGCACAACAAGTTTTGTTAGTTTAATTCTATGGTTAGCCAATTCCCTTCAATTTCAAGGTAAAGAATGAAGATGATAGCTGCGCTTAACTCTCTTTCTTTATGTAGAATGGATTGCTTACCGCATTGGCAAATACTTGACTTCAGCAACAGGTGCGACTGTCATTTTTGACTCGGCCATCTTGCCTAATTGGAAAGACGGCAAAATTCGATTTAACAATGTCAAGATATACAGAATGCCCCGCTCAGAAAAAGAGAAATTTGAACGTCATGCAGCTCTTTTGAGCACAGAAGTAGACTATATCAACAAAGACGATGATCCTTTGGCAGGTGTTGAATTAGATGAAGATGAAAAAGACAATGAAGTACTTAAAAAATGGATGTGGTGTGATCTCGTCATTGATCGTGTAGACGTCACACTAAGCCTCATGCGCTGGATGGACGGTAAAGGTCTTGTTCAGAGCGCTGATATACAAGGTGTGCGTGGTGTGGTTGATCGTCGACATGTTCGCTGGGATCCTGATGTGCCTTACGATCCAGTTGCTGCTCGACACAAATACACACCGGGTGATTTTGAACTAGAAAAATTGACACTAGAAGATTTGCTAGTTACTGTTTATCAGCCAAATGGATTTAGACCTTACCCTGTCTCTATATTCCAAGCTCAATTAGATCGATTCCGTAAACAATGGTAAGGAATGAAATTAACACTTTTTTTTGTCTGAACTTCTTCTAGGCTTTTTTATGATTTACTCTGTGCTACTTCTATTACAGGTTCATTTGACAAGTGCTTGTTTAGCGTACACACGCCTCAATTAGAAAAAAGTGTGTTGGAACAATCTGGACACATTGACTCTAAAAATCCGAGTATTAGAAGCCATGATATTTATCATTACTACCCTTTCAAGAAGCCTGACCCAAACGGTGTTCTTGTAGGTGGCGAAACAGCACGATTTGGTGTGATGACAGACAATGAAATGAAGAAACAAGGCTATAAAAGAAAGGTGAGAGATAAACATGCTGATTATGTACCTCTAAATAGTCTATTAGTCCCGCTTAAGAATTGATGGTGTCAATATTGATCATATTAACCGTGGTGTGGAAGGTCCACCTGGATGGATTACCTCAGGCACAGTGGACATTTATGCAGATATCTATATTCCTCAAGAAGCTGTTGAAGCTGATTCTACTGAACTTTTGCGTCGACTTGTCTATGAACTTACAGATAGCATTGAACTATCACAGCCTGTGATCTTGGGTGCAGGCAAAGGCGAAGAAATCCTTGTTGTCGGTGGTCAACGCGAAGAGAAAAAGAAAAAGGAAGAAGACTCCATGGCCAAAAAGTTCGTGATGGACATGGAATTTAGATTTAAAGATACAAAAGCGTCTGTCCCACTCAAGACGCCTGAGCTAAGCTATCTCAATAATGCTATGGTAAGACCCATTGTAGGCTACATTTCTCGCAACAAGTCCATTGTGCCTATCAAGATTCGTGTCGTCATGGATCTCAGTAACTTTGATGGTTCCTGGAGTCTACATGACTCTACATTGGCAGAAAGAATGAGCGAAAAACTCGGTCAAGGTTTTGTAGATTTGACACGCGACCAACAAGAACGCAATCGACGTTTAAAACGTATTGGCTTTTGGAGTATCAAAGAGATGTCTCGTAACTTACTTCATATTCATGAACTCATGCGTGGTACATCAAGAGGTTTTTGGAGTTATTTGGGTACTGGTACATCCTAAGTTGCACTTTATTTATTTATATACCCCCCCTCTCTTCTCTTTTTTATACATATGACCACCCTTCTCTTCCTTGTGTAAATACTATTATGGGCAACGTTCTTTACCCTTTCTATTGCTATTGTTATTAGATGCTTCCATAACAAAAGTATTAAACTAATAAAAGATGAGTACAAATAGCCTTCGATATCAATACATTACGCGAAATAAGTCCATAGGTGCTGATTTTAATGGGATCAGTTTGGCCCAAGGATGATGGTTTTCGCCTGCAGGAATCCAATCGATTGTACCTTGTTGTGGATATCCATCTTGTACTGTTTCGATAGATAATGCGAATCGTCTGTCATTGTCTGTTGATTCCTGCACAACAGAACCCAACTTGATCAAACATGCTCTTAAATGCTGCTCAAGATCGCCCATGGTATATATGGATTCACTCTCTTGGAGGATCTCAAGGGGAATGTCTACAGTGTTCAATATGGAATTGATCTCAAACACGAACTTCTCTTCTGCTACATTATCGTCCTTTAGCACAGTTAAAGAGATGAATTTGACAAGACCCTGTTTGCAGATCAATAATGATGCATAAAAGAACGATTTACCTTTTCTAATAATGGATGGCACGATTGAACAAAACTTGCAATATATTCTTGAACATCTGGGTGTGTCGCTACCTTGACAGGCACTTGAAACTTCTTTTGTGTCTCAAATATGGCTCTGGGATATATATTACGTTTATATAAGATCTGATGGAACCATGTTTCTACTATAAAAAAAAAAAAAAAAGACTTTAGCTCCATGTTAATTGTTCTGCATCTTACAAAACTCGCAAGTCAAGTCAATAATGTCTAAATATTTATGAGACACAACACGAAATAGGTCTGGTACCTTTTCTTATAACGATTTGCTCATGACTCATAGTTTAAAGGGAAAAGAAGGAGAATAATACTTGACTATTTTCTTTACATTTTTAATTGCCGCCAATGTTCATACTGTCAAAAAAAAAAAGAGAGGAACAATAAGATCTCCTGTCTTACACAAGGGGGAATATTATTAAGGTAAAGAGAACAAAAAAAGAACAAAAAAATAGGCCAATCAGACAAACCAACAAAACAAATGAAAGATGATACAAACGATAATGCATATACACAAAGAGATATGAATGTACATATAAATAAAAAGTGAGGATTGGGTATGCAAAAAAAATAAAAAATAAAAAAAATAAAAAATAGAGACTTATAGTGTATGTGTTGTTGCTGTCTGAACATCCATCATGGGATCATCTGTAGAGTGATGAGCTATGTCTGAAGTAATAGCCGGTCCATCAATATCCTCAATAATAGAAGAAGTAGCTGGCGTATCATCTTCAATATCCATTTGCTTCTGGGTCAATTTTCTTCGTTTCTTTCTTTTGTTGGCACACGTTTTGAGTGCTGATTTCATTTCTGTCATGGTAAAGGGTTTACTGATAAAGTCATTCATGCCTGCATCAATGCAAATTTGTCGATCTTCACGGGATGCTGATGCTGTCAATGCAATGATATAAACGTCTATGCTATTCAACAAGCTTTCAGAGTCTGATGAGGAAGATGGCGTTGTGTTTTCGGTCGTTTGGTTGACTAATTGCTTTTGTCGAGTTCTTTCTTTAATGATTTCTCGAGTCACTTCAAGACCATCCATTTCTGGCATATACAAGTCCATCTAATTTTTGGTTAATAGGGGGGGGGGAGATTCATGGTCTAATATGTCACTTACAAATATAACATCAAAGACAGAGGATTTCATGAGAGTCAATACTTCGCTTCCATTGTTAGCAATAGCCACATCAATATAGCCTAGTCGTTTCAAGATACTAATAGCAATCTTTTGATTCACTATAACAGTTGGTCAATACCATGTCTACCATATGCAAACCAACTTACAAATATTATCCTCTGCAAGCAAGATACGTAAAGGATGTGCTTTAGCAAGGTTTTCTTCTTTTGTTTGGGGCTTTCTGTTGTGATAATGCTGCTTGGATATAGACACACGATTGTTCCGAGTAGCTGGTGATAACAAGTCATTATAACTCTTTCTGGCATTATTCCCACCACTATTACTAGCAACATTACTGCCTCCAGAGACATTGATTCGTTTAGAAGTATCAGACTCCATGCCTGAATTAGTTGTCATGTTCACATTGGGATTAAGAGGATGTCCATCTTCAGCCATAGGTGAAAATGATTGTTCATTTGTACTGTTTTCAATGATTTGAGGAATTGAGATGGGTTCTGAACGTTGTTGATTGAATGGTTCAGTAGCAAAGTATTGTTGTTGTGTAGATCGAGAGAGTAAAGGACGTTGTTGGTGCTGTTGTTGTTGTTGTTGTTGTTGTGAAGCAAGTTGAGCCGTTGTAACAGGAAAGTAGCCTGAGCCACTACCACTCGCTGTACTACCTGCACTTGTAATTGTGGGTGTAGAGAAGGTAAAATAAGCAGATGATAAGGGTGATATGATGTCATTAGTACCTCCAGAATTGGAAGTAGCATTTCCCAAAGCTGAATGAACACTGCTACTACTGTCAGAAACAGTAGAGCCAGGAGAAGAAGGTGATCCAGCAAACCCAAGTGGTGTACTATCACTGCTATGATTCCTACCCCGAGGAGCTACTGTCATGGGTAAAGTCAAAGCAAATCTTGAACCCACACCTTCTTCTGATTCAACCCAGACACAACCACCCATTCGATTGACGAGTGTGCTTGAAATGGCAAGGCCTAGACCTGTGCCACCATATCTTCTTGCTGTAGAGATATCTATTTGAGAGAAAGACTTGAATAGTTTTGGTAAACGATCTGCAGGAATGCCAATGCCTGTGTCTGTAACAGAGATTTCCAATATTGACTTTTCTCCAAAATAATCATTCGGCATCACCTCTTCTTCTGTACTTGGTAAAGGATTATAGCTATTACTACGGTCTCTTTTGTCTTGCATTGCTTGGTTCCAAATAGTCTCAATTTTTGCATCATAGCGTTCTTTGAACGTCATGCGCTTATCTGATAGTCTAGCAGAAGGTGTGCGTAAAGGAGTTGGTGTTGAGCGTTTGATACGGATGTGAATACCACCTTGTTTTGTAAACTTGACTGCATTTGAGCACAGGTTAAGCATAATTTGTGTCAAACGCATGGTATCCCCAAAAAGATGGTCAGGTACATCGGGGTCAATTTTCCAAATCACAGGCAGGACAGTTTTACCCTTCTTGTGAAGCAGAGGTCTCAACAAGACACCACTGTTTTCCAATTGAGATATAAGTTGAGGAAGGGGTACATTATCGTCTTTATCCGGAGGACATTCAAGTACATAAACTACTTTGTTTTGCTGACTCATGGATGCTTGATGTCTAGCCATATTCAAGGTATCTTGATGGATGTGATTAGCAGGGGGAGGTAATTTTTTTTTTTGGAGTCTTACCTTTTAAGCATTTTCTCAAGCTAAATCGTCTGCTTTCAAGTTTAAATTTAGGATCATGATTTAATTTTGAAATGTCGAGGATATCGTTGATGATCTATGATTTTGAGTATACTCGTACTTTCTCTTTTTTTAACTTACTGTTAGCAAATGGCTACCACTGGTTTGAATCACTTCCAAGTGTTCAATTTGTTCAATATTTAAAGTAGATCGTTCTTGTAATAAAAGATCCGTAAGTGCAATGACAGCATTCATAGGTGTTCTATTATAGACAAGTCAATGACAAACAGAGAGAGAAAATCAAATAACATTACCTGATTTCATGGCTCATATCAGCCAAGAACTTGAGCTTATTTTCAGCATCGAGAAGAGCCAAATCTCTAGCACTAATCAACTGTTCTTGCTTTCTCAATTGGCTTAGCTCATTGATACACCTTGTCTGCATAAAATTCAGTATCGTTGTGATTGTGTTCATTCTCGAAGATTCAATCACAACACTATCTGTAACACACAAGATGCCTTTGATAGTATCGTTTTTATCTCGATTTGAATCAAGCTTTAACCCAACAAAATGCTGATAAGAAGGGTAAATACCTCTTTCGACTTCTTGCTGTTCAGTGTCTGTATGTTGGTTCAAGAGGGAAATTACATGGTCATTCAATAGTGTTTTGATATAAGGCGAAGCTGAGTTTAGGTACAACAGAGGAATAATTGTGTTTGTCAAGCTAAAATTGAAATAAGTATACATCCCAGGAAAAAAAGGCATGCAATGTCGCTTACCTGGATTTCATGCTCGCTTGATTTGAAAAGCAAGACCTGATCAATAAAAATTGATCTTGGAGTTGATCGGGTGTTGAATCCATGGCAACAGAGGAAGTTGGATGTTGAGGAGACGAGGTATTGTCGCTGTTACCGCAAGAAGGGTATCTAATTTCAGGAGAGCTGGAAGAACTTTGTGAGCATGAGATAATATTCAGTTTCTTCTGCTCGTCTGATTTGTATATGCTGCATAATTCTCTATATTCTTCGAGAGATAATAACTGCAACAAAAGGGTCGAGTGTACCTTTGTTTGTATTGTAATTTCCTTTAAAAGCATATCGATAAACTCCATGCCAACATATTGAAAGGTCGAAGAGAGAATAGCTGTCAGTTCACTGCCAATATTCATTTGGGATGAGAGTGTTTCTGATGGTGGATGGTGGAGGTCTTCTTTCTGCTCGCTTTGTTCATTTATGTTCATAATCTTTATGATAGGGAAAAAAAGAGGGAGGGGGTTTTTAATAAGAATAAAATAAGTTCTTCCTTGTCTTCTTTAATTTTCTTTTTAATGAAAACACACAGAAAGAGAAAAGCTAAAAAAATAAAATAAAAGAAAGAAAAAGTAGGAATACAGAAAAAAGCCTCTCTCTCTTTTTTTATTCGCCCCAAAAAAGCAACTCTACGTCATTTCGAAATCTAAATTATTGATACTCGAAATACAAAAAAACACGCGTTTATAGAAAGTGTTTCTTTCCTGTTGAATATATATTCAAGATTTTAATTGGGGCTATTCCCTTTTTCTCTTTAGTCAGGTGAAATATGCTGACCTTTGATTATTCTCGTAATTCTTCCTAATAAAGAAGTTCCTGGATGCTTATAAATACAAATTAATTTGTGTTTATTTGAAAGATGACGAGGCAAACTGCTTATTGTTCAAATAGACAAGGACAGTCTCTGATGAGGTTTAAAGAAGCAATATGGTATTTGAATGCTTATTCATCATGGTAGTACTTGGCACGATAACACTGTGCTTTTAATATACCAACTCTATTGTATTCTTTCAGCTTCGATATAAATCCAGGCATGTAGTACCAAATCATTGTCGTTTTCATTCATCTGTAATGAGCCCAAGTGACATGCTTGGCGGAACACAAGCATCAGACTCAATCATTCTCAGCTTGACAAGGATGCTCTTTTTCCAAATATTCGGGTAATGAATACAACTTACTATTGGAAGCACAGTTTTGACCAAGTCTGTCTGCATTACAGTTTATATCAAAACGTTATCATTTTTCCCTTTCCACCCCTTTACGAGTCATGCCTGTTAAGAATATGCTTTTATGTTCTTTTTGAGGTATCATAGGAGAACCAAAGCCACAGTAGGATAGTTATACTTGTAATTATTTTGATAAATTCAAGGCTGCTGATTTGTTACCAGATAAAAAGTTTATCTCGCTTTAACACTTTTTCAATCGCACTAAACCTTTTCAATTTTGGGTTACTGCACACAATTTTCTTTGCTTACAGATATACACTAAAAGCGCTTTTGTTTAAACCATTGAAGGCACAACAGTCGTACTTGAACCTAGAAACATAATAAATTGAACCCAAGTCATATCATTCAATCCAAGTAAAAATAATGGAAGAAAACTATTTGATTGATGTAATTGAAGCTTTTGTTCACAATGTTGAGCTTTGTAGAGAGAGCATGAACAGATTCATTACATTTGATGAACTTTTGTTTTTATCTTCACGAACCTCCGTGGATCCTCCATTGATCAAAAAATAAATTTCACCTAGAAGCCAAACTAATAGTACCATTCGATTCTTGAACTCAAAAGAACATGTTTTAAATGAGAAAACCGGCTATTTTGATAGTCTGGTTGTCAAGCAATAGACCATCAAAGATTGGCATGTTTAAGCTGTGTTTTGAGCATTTTTACTCTAGATATCATGTAAAGTACGTTAGAGCTAGATCTTTATAAAGCATCTAGCTCAGATTTTAGTGCTAAAGAGCATAGAAAAATAGAAATGTATGCATTCTGTAATGCAACTGTGGGAAGCAAACGAACAAGGGACATAGCAAAGGGCTATATGCGGAGATTGAGATGGAAGGCAGCTCCAGTTCTTCTTTCTACTGCAATAAAAATGGAGCTTTTAAACGATGACTGCACCAAAGTGGCATGGTGGCCTTGGCATTCTTGACTTGTTTTCTCAGCAGAAATCACTGTATTACCATTGGCTTCATCCTTTTTTGTGTCCTCAAGCTGAACGTTCTCTGATACAAGACTTTCTAGCAGCACATACCCGTGCTTTGCTTCAGACTGAACATCTGCTCTTGGGTCTGCTCTTTCCTCGTTCTCGCCCAGGCCAACTCAGGCAATTGGCAAGTAACACTGTCACAATGTGCTGCCAGACAATGGATGCTATTCCTAGGAAACAATACTCATACATGCCAAACCCTATCGAATGCCTTCTACTGCCATTACGCTCAATTGTTTTGCCATCTGACACCTTTGATTTGCCTCTCAAACTACGCACAGTAGCAGTTTCCTATCTATATGAGTACCATCCACAGGGTCACTATTTGGCACCAATACCAGTTTCTTCCTTTCCCCTGGATATCCGTCGTAGTGTCAGAAAATATATTCAAGCAGTGAATCAAAATCATTGTCAACTGGAGCCATTCTTTGGTCAATGCCTTGTTCGTACTTCATTAGACTTATACAATCCTGTGCATATTCCTGCAATCCAGCGGTCTCTTGGTTTCTTTTCTTTTGTGCGTATGTTGAAACTGCCTTTTGACAATGAAAATTTCATTGCCCTCAAGAATGGTGACTATACTTTCCGTAAGGTCATCACGCAAGCTGACTTGTCTGATATCATTGCCCGGCAAGAAGTTTCTTCTGCTGCTTGGAAGTACTTTTGGTGTATACCTATCACAACATTGCAGAGAAATGTGATGTATCGATTTCTGACTCGCAAGATTCCCACTCGCTTATTTCTATCCAAGATTTTTCCTGCTCGCTTCCCTACTGCTGCCTGCATTTTGTGTGGTGATCAGGAGACTGTGTACCATTTCTTCTTTCGCTGCCCCCAAAAATTTCCGTTCTGGGATGCCTTGATCAGGGAATTTCTATGGCCAGGCACCTCTCTGGATCTAGTCTCTGATGCACTTGCATCTTTCAATTTTTCTCGGATTCGGTCTCAAACCAACTGTCCTCTTTCAGTAGCCATGGTAACCTTGATCGGTCTCTCTGAAATCTGGAAGGCCCATTGGACCCATACCATGCAGAACCAACCATTCCATTATCTCTCTGTTCTTCATAGCACTCGCTATCAAATTAAGCGTATAGCTGTTGAAAATGACCTTTCATCTTGAGAGGTCTTTTCTCGCAGTAGCTGCTCTTTTTTTTTCTTGATTTCTTTTTTTTTTTTGAAATTGTAGTACCCTTTTTGTTTCTTTTAATCCTCTTATAATAAATAATTGTCGAGCACCTCTTTTAGTGGGTCCCTCTCGAGACCACTAATACGTGCGGCAAATAAAATCATTAAAAAAAAAAAAAAATGGAGCTTTTGCTGAGAACTACATAAAGACGCGGTTATCTGACTTAGGTATAGTGACAAAAGTTGTAGACATCAGTCTCCTGAATTCAATAATATAAGAGGCATAGCAACTTTGCTGGTGAAATATCAAGCAAATACGCAGAAATTTTTACAAGGTTTTTGGCTCCTATTGTATCATTCTCATAGTACAATTGGTAAGTGAATACATTAGTCAAAAACTGGAAATTTTTACGCTCGTTTTGAGTATTTAAACTCATTGATAGCTCTATTTTTCGTCATGTAGCTGTAAAAAGAAGATCAAGTGCTGTCAAACGAGCTTTTTTCATGAATGGTACCCTTTGGATTTGAGGTGAAAATGGCCATTTTTTACAAGTCGCTTTTTCTGGTCCAAATCGACCCCAAAGGTACCATGTATGCTAATAAACATGATTTTAAAGTATTTAGAGTGTTTATGCATGTATAAACAAACCTTATACTACCTTTATATGGCTAAGAAAAAGACAAGGATGTGTATAAAATGTTTTCTTTTTTTTTTACTGCTAAAGCATTTCCTTGCCTGCTGTCTTTATTGTGTAAATAATTAATGTTCTACTAAACTACTCATTTAAATATAATAACTTGCTAACACGCACTTGATCCATTAAGCTGGCGACTCTTACGAGTCTGATGAACTAAATTTAAGTCGAACTAACCTAATTCTTATGACATTGAGCTATTCAATAGGTATCGGATTGAAATTAATAGTTTAAGTGGAAATCATTGCATGCATGTTTTTCCCTGCATGATTAATCATGTAAAAGTGTAATATGTTTACTTTGTAGCTAAAATTTTCAAAGTTTAACTTGAGATTCCTCGACAAACTCTAAGAAAATCCTTTAATAACTAAAGTCCTACACATTCTCAAAACCTGCTCAACGATGCTATAAAGCTCATTTTTTGGTTGACAAAACCGAAGAGAACTACCCTTCTTTGAATTAGTCAAAGTGCTTTCGTTTAAACAACTGACCAATTTTTTCATAAGATTGTTTAATGCATCTCTTAGATCACATTCATAATACGAAACTGTTCAATCATTTCGTTGCAGATTACCACATGAACAATCTTAGAAAATTGTTCACCCAAAGACTTGAAACCTGCATATTACAATATGCACATGTAACTTTTTTTATTTTAAATAGACAGTAAATAACAATATTAGATACATCCCAATAATTTACACAGATTAACGGGTTTCTTATCACTCCGGTACAGGTAAAACTTCTCGGTTAGGCAACGGTGTGTTCATTCCCATGCTTGAAGCTCTACTTAATGTTCCATTCAAAGGACTCAGTTTCTCAACTACGGTTTTCAGGCCATCCCAGATCATAGAACACCTCACCAAGAAACCATAATACGATAAAAGTTTAAGACCATCAAGATTATGAGAGTACATGCCTGCTTTCACAGTCTGTTTCAGTTCGCGTTGGATATGTAAGTTTCCATTAGTCACCATTCGATCAATTTCAACCCAGTCTTCAGCGAAATCACTAAGAGATCTTTTGTAATCTTTCAATATACGGCCTAATTTGTACATGACTCGTAAACTATCACTGAAACTTTCCAATGTTTCTTTTGTCGGAGTAATACGTTCCTGAAGAGCTGTTGAATCATTTAGATTGGGTGATCCATCCGCACGCATTGTCTGAGTTGTCTGGTTTAAGCTTACCAATGGTTGAAGTAAACGGAAAGAAACCAAAGGCCAGGCTATACTCTTCATGGCTTCAATGGCCTCATTGTAACGCTTGGCTCTTCTCATATGACGCTTACATCGTTCTTTTCCTCCAAAAATTCGAAAAATGGACTGAATATAATATTCATTCGATACATTACGCAAACGGGTTGATTCCGTTTGTAGTTTAGCCAAGACGGAGAATGCCTCATTGCTAACGCTGGTAATTGAACTATGCTTCCAGAACTGATCACTTTCTTCTAATTGCTGACGAATTTGGCTTCGTAGATCAGGTTTCAAATCCGGAGGTTGAGCTGTAAAAGTTCTGGCCATGATATCAGATAGCTTGTGATTTTCTTCCTCATTTGGTAGATGGCGGTCAATCGTAGAGGCCAAGGACTCATTGACAGCTGCTGTTGTGCTACCGCTAAAGTCCAGATAGAATTCGGACGATTTCTGATACAGATCAGCGGCATCTTCCATTGCTTTGCCCAAATTCTTTCGCATAACACTGCTTGCTTTGACTGGGAACACAAATACAGAGACAATTCTAATAGAGTTAGTTTTATACTTTATCTGATGTTCCATTGATTCTACTTACAACGAGATAACAATGCCTATGATTAAGTTTAGTGTTCTCCATGAACCTAGTTCAGCTGTGTACGATAATCGATTTTGTATTAATTCAGAGTACCCAGATAGTAAAATAATAACCGTTGTGAGTAAGCCCTATATAGTAAATTAAACAATTTAATATACATAATGATATCGGATCAATAAGTAAACATACAATACTACCAGCGTATGCCGTATTAGGCTTTATTTTTATCTTTGCAATAAAGAAGACCTGCACAAACATAAGAAAGCATAGAAGAATAATGGCTCTGTGGTCCCAAGAAGGCTGAAATATAGCACGAGTGATAGTCATCACTACAATACTCGATACACCACCAATGATAGTACCAAGTAAACGTTGTAAACTAAGGTTGACTAGACCTCCAACAGTATTATCAAGCACAGTAACAACAGAAATGCCTATAAATTGTATTAGGAGATTATGTCTATAGAAGAAACTAATATGCTCTCTTTACCAATCCAAAATGCATTCGCAAATACGTCTGAGAGAGGTGAAACAACGACAAAGATGGCAGCAATGATAAATCCAATACTCATTTGGAAGGCATAGCGATTGTCTGCAGAATTGCACTGCTTTACAAACCATTGATAGACCTTAGAATCTTTGATTTGCTCTACCCTAGGATGAGATTTTTTTTCTGCATTAATAGATGGTTGTTGCGAGCCTTCTTCTGCACTGCGAAAGTATTGCACATCTTCAATGATAGTAATTCTTTCTTGTCCAGGCACTTTGACAGTGATATGAGTTGATATAGTAGATGAAAACTCCGGTTTTTTCTCATTATAATTAAGTTGATCTGAATCTAATGTTAAGAGTTATAAAGCGTATGCGCATAAGTCAAAACCTTACCAAGGGTATCTCGAGATTGAAATGAAAGTTTATCTTCTGATTCTTTTCTATCATTTATGTTTATTCTGACAGATTCATCATCAGATAATGATGCTTTGTCATTTGAAGCTGGCAACTTGAGTTCTTCATTGTTTTTCATTTTATGAAGTATAACAAAAAAGAAAAAAGAAAAAGAAGAAGGTGCTTTATATAGTATTGCTTGCCAAATAAAAAATTCCTATTATATACACTCTAAACGAACTTAGTGCGTGTGTAGGTTAATATCCAAACTGCATTACTTGAATAGATTGGCATGTCCTAATCAGGAAATAACTACTGATCTCTGCAGTCGTAGTAGGAAATTTAAACTTCTTTTCATATTATTCATGCAACGTCATCAGAAGTGTGTTGTTGACTAAATATGGAAGATTCCATCTGCTTTTTCTATTAATTCCTTATGTTCAAACAAGCGTGTCCTACAATTAAAAAAAGTTAGTATTGTCCCCTTTTTAAAGCTAGTTAATAATATAAAACGTGCAGATATTCAACAGCGTCTATTTGGCAGTTTGGTTTCTCCCAAGGAACTGAAGGCGGCTTTGGGTTCTGTCAAGATCTTGGACGGTTCTTGGCATATGCCGAATACAAACCGTGACCCATTTGCTGAGTTCCTTCAGAAACGTATTATCGGTAGTCAATTTTTCGGCATAGACACTATCAAGGACACTTCAAGCGACCTCCCACATATGCTACCTTCACCAGAAGTCTTTGCCAGTGCTGTTGGTACGTAATGTTACCTTGATAGCTACCTCTAATCACTGTTTAGGCAATTTGGGCATCAGTGAAGATGATCATATTGTGGTTTATGATACTGCAGGCGTTTTTTCTGCATGTCGCGTCTATTGGACATTTAAGGTACGACATGGATATATAAATGTACATATATAGCAAGCACAAATGTAAAGAATATGACGATATAGGTATTTGGTCATGAATCTATTTCTGTTTTGAATGGAGGCTTGCCTTTATGGGAAAAAAGCGATGGTCCTATCGAAACAGGATCACCAAAACCTGTAGAACCCAAAACCTACCGCATCCCAAAACTCAATAAGGATTTTGTTCGAGATTATCAAGCCGTTTTGGCAAATGCTCGCTGTATTCAACAGGGACAAACAGGCGCACAAGTTTTGGATGCACGTCCTTATGCTCGCTTCACCGGTGAAGCACCAGAACCTAGGGCCGGTTTGAGTTCTGGACATATGCCAGGTTCCATTAGTGTTGCGTTTAATGAAGTGGTTCACGATGGTGTCATGTTGGATGATGAAAAATTGCGCCAAGTGTTTGAATCAAAACGTATTGATCTCGATAAAGAAGTCATTACCAGTTGCGGTAAGTCAAACCTCAATCTGATAAAACAGGGATTTTCATTATTGTTGTTGTAGGAAGCGGAATCACTGCCTCTATATTGTACTTAGCTTTGGAGAGAGTGGGTGCTCGTAAACTAGCTGTATATGACGGTAGTTGGACTGAATATGCTGGAAAACCAGATAGTCTCATCGTAAAAGACAAATAAAAATCTCACCATGCAAATGTTTCACTCTGATAAGCTTAGATACATTTTTAATTAATTATTATAGTGGTACAAGAGAAGAGGCAGGAGCATGTATCAAACTATGCTGATGCCGGGAAATATGCTAAATGATAAAAAAAATTAATATATTTGATACTTATTTAACAGATAAAACTATTCTTTAAAGAGTTAATCAGAGCTTCTAAGCTCTAAACTTGCTTGGTATTGTCCCCGTAGATTCTTTATTTTGGTTGAACACAGGCTCTTTTGGTTGAGCTTTGATAGGCTTCTGTTTCTTTTTTTCTTCCTCTTCTACTCGTTGTTGCTTTTCGGTGATCATAGGTAGTTTAGCATTGATATATTCATCTAGGGATATGAGACGGTCTCTGTTTAAATCCATGTCTTGGAACACACGATCAATTATAAGCTTAATATGCTGTGCATTTGGATCAATATCTCTTTCTAGACCGTACATGGACTTAAGTTCTTCTTCGTCCCAGAAACCGTCTTGATTAAGGTCATGTATCTTGAAGAATGCAACTTCATCTTGTATTTCAATGTTGTGACTTTCTGACATGTGTCTAAATAATAGTATAAGTTAAACGTACATGCAAATTAGCTTTACTTTTGCTCAAATTCTCCAGGGTGGCCGCATAAGACAAGAGGCATACATGTAGCAAGCGCTAAGAGGAATATCTTGTAAATCATATTGATATAAAGAAAAAGAAAAAGAAAAGAGAAATAGAAAAATCTATCCTGCATAAAAAAAGGAGAGATACAACAACCAATAGTTTTTTTACAACACAAAATTTCTGCATGAAAGTGCACATCTTACCTAAAATTCTATCTAGAAATGCCATCAAGAGAAGACATTTAGCATCTTGTAGCTTGTTCAAGAACAATACTGTTTTCATGAGTAGTTCTTATTTCTTCGTTGAAGCTTCAAATGTAAATTTTCTTATGTAAAAAATACGTCTCTCTCCCGAATCTTAGACGTTTATAGGCCCTACGGTTATTGTGTTTGGTTATATGGGCTTTTTTATGTTTAAATCCCTGACAGCTGATACATATGACAAGCATATCCCTATTGGTAAGTACTTGATTTTATTCTAATTTCTTTCACAGGCGCACTCCGATTTGTCTTTAAATACCCAAGACACAAGTGTTTTAATTCTCATAATATCACTTGAAAAAAAAAAAGATTTTAATAGCTTAATGCGAATTAACCAAGATTAATTGTTTATCATCATACTGAAGTTATCGCATATCGGCATATAGTTTGCGCAACTTGGGATCAAACTTCTTTTTTCCTCCTCTTCCTTTGCGTCTGGACCCTCTGAACTTTGCTCGAACATTCTTCTTTGCAAATCTAAAAAAATTAGAGTAAACTCTTACTAACTGTTTAATACCTTGTTGCTAACAAGCCCTCGATTTCATCATCACACATGACGCAGCCTAATAGTGGTTCACGATTTTGATTTTCACGAAACTCTACTTTTAGTAAGACCGAGCCACATTCACATACGTCCTTTTGTATGATAACATCTGTAAAAGATATAAGTTATATAACAAAAAAAAACTCCCCCTTGCTTACTTTTGACAGTGTCTACAAAGGAAGATACAACATTGCATTCATTACAGCTTAGTTTCCATCGAGGGGCTGATGTAGCATCTAAAATCAAAGAACCCTTACAAGGGTCTTTTTCATTATCACTTTCAGGACAAGGACATATGGCATTTGTGACCATAGAATGTGTGCATGTTGGATGTGGGCAGTGATTACAAGCCATACCTAATCACAAAAAAAAAAGTCAGCATCTATTACTAGACATGAAACTACCTTTTTGAAAGTTCTCAAATGGAGGATTATTGTAACAACATGGACAAATGGGATACCCAGTTCCTTTTGAGCCAGTAGAGTAAAGCACAAGTTCAAAGTCATCAAGAGGCTACATCTAGTTAAGAATACAGCTGAAAGAGTGTAATACATACGCAAGTAAGTTCCTTGTAAAGCTTAATATGGCCATTCAAAGGAAGTGAATATGTTTCATCACAAGTTGCACAATGCAATCGGTTTGGCTTCAAAGAAATATATTTCATATATCTAGTACAAATATCAGCACATGTGTTTGTTTACTTGCATGTGGCTCTTTACCTTTTACATTTACCACATTTGGATAATGGTTTCCCGGTTGCTGCCAATGGAGAGAAAGTGGCTTCAAACAGCTCATCCATATTTGCAATCTATAAGCGTTAGCCTGAAAAGAGATTCATTTCAATTTAGTTTTCTACTATACCTGGTTTGTGAAATAAACAAACTTTTTTTCAAACATCTTGAGGAAATACTCAAGGACTTGGTTGTAGGAGGCCTTTCCAGAAGCAATCAAACTTAACTGCTGTTCCATATCTGAACGCATAGTAGGCAGTGAAAGTTCTGGATCAATCTTTTCTAGAAGTATGTATAGTATTAGATTGAATCTATTGCAGTATTGTTTGTTTCTGCTTACGGTAACTAACAGAAAGTAAATACAATTTTACCTAAATATGTCGTCTTACCCATGAATAAGAACAATACCAAGGTTTGTAGGAATCAAATAACGCTTAGCACCAGAAACTTGCACATAGTTTCTTTGACAAATATTATTGATGTGTGTAGGAATAGAAGCATCTGTACCAATGCCATGGTGTTCCATTAATCCAATGAGCTCGGCTTCAGTTAAATAATCTGGTGGACTCGTCTTGCCTTCGACTAAATTTACATCAAGAACATCAAGCACTTCTCCTTCCTTAAAATCAGGAATGTATTCATCGGATGTACTAATCCAATGCATAACAGAAGTAAAGCCAGGTGATAACATTTTAGTGCCTTTGCATTCAAAGACTTCACCTCCAATATCAAAAGTAACACTTGTTGTATTGTATTTCATATTTGAACTGAGTGAACCGATAAATGTACGAACAATAAAGTCGTATAATTTCCATGAATTTCCTGGTAATTCACCTTCATGAGCTAAGCGTGTAGGTGTACTATGACAAGTTAGTTTTGTAGAAATATATAGAATGTACTTTACATAGGAGGGTGATCACCGCTATCGGTACCTCCAGAAGGTCTATCGTATTTGTTATTAAGGAGATCAGTACAGTAGCTTCCCCAATCAGAATGTGAGGATTGCTCGCGAAGAACACTATCTAAGTCAAAGTTGTCTGGATACTTGGATGTTTCTGTACGAGGATATGAAATGTATCCTTGCATATACAATCGCTCAGCAACACTCATCTAACAGACTGGTTAGGATTGCATCTATAAAAGATAACATACACATTCACTAGGACTCATACCGAGACCAGTAGAGCAATGCTTTAACATTTCAACCTATTTTTTTTTTACACGATTATCAAATTATTACATATAAATGACTTACGGTGTTTAATGCATGTGGTCTAGGCTTTGACTTCTTTTGTATATTGATATTTAAGACTCTATATCAAAGTCAATCGTGATTCACCAAAGAAATCACTTACTTGGCTCCTTTTGATTTGGAATCTGTCACCATATTCACAAACATAGTTCCCACCTGCCGATCAAAAACTCTTTCTCTTGACCAAGATAATTTCAAAGGTGTCTCTGATTTACGAACCGTTACACTGACAGACCAAAATGGCTCAGGCTGAAATCCTTGAATGCGGTCATGACGTTCCACACAAAACGACAAAGTGGGTGTCTGGCAAGGACCATAACTGATCACAGTAGAATCCAAATTACCATACTTTCCTTGAAAAAATCGAGTCTGAAAGCGAGTAAATGCCACACCAGTCCTCAAATCAATCTCTTGTCGAGCATCCACAGCTACATTGTGTTGGCATAAAAAAATAACAGACAATCCAATTTACCTTTGGCTTCATTCTCGTTGGGTTTACCCAAGTTCTTCATGGCTTTTCTTACATCTTCTTTTGTGATGGCTGTATTCACAACTTAAGTAACATGCCAATCATCTCTCTCTCTTGTTCCTACCTGAGAACTTGGCTCGATAAACATGAGACATTTTCCCACCTTTCTGTGGATGATTCATGGAGGGCAAACAATTCTCAATCACTTCAAAACAAATATTTTCTCCTTCTCGGTCACAATCAAGCCAAAGTACGAGATAATCTACTCCTTTAGCAGCTGCCCGTAAGTGCTGAGTTAATCTCATTTTAGGGTTTGATTCCTGTTTGATTGTTTCAGCGTCAAATAGCTTGACGGGGTCAATGGACCACGAATTATACTTTTCTGTAAAGTCGAGACCATAGACATGGCCGGTGACTGAAGTAAAGCGATATTCAGCTGGCTCGTTTTGGAAATTATCTTTCCATTCGTGAATAGACGTAGCGTGTTTATGAGTAGTAAACTTGTAAGAGCAGGTTAGTTTGCAAACTGGTTTAAAGTATGGCTATCTGTACCTGACCACCTGGTGCAAGTAGTTTACTTAAGGCTTCAGCCAAAGAAGGCTTTTCTGCCACCTATATTTTATTAACCATAGAACAGAAAATAAAGTATGGTTTACCATAAGCACTTTGCATAGAGGCATATTAATGTAAGTTTTGCTAAAAGATTAAAATAAATGGTCGACGCGTTTTCCTTTCGAGCAACGATCGCCTACTGAGTTTCAATCGTCTGATGTGGTTTTACAGCAACAAAAAAGACATTTCTGCATTAATTTCAGTTGCCAAGACAACCTCCCTTTTGATTTTTTGTGAAACCATTCAATGCAAGGAGCTCATTACGAACTAACTGGCTATATGGAATACATAATAAGCTTAATTGTATGATCTCTTTTTTCTTTTTCACAACTAGATAGAATACTTGTGTTACCTGCTTGTCCTTGACAGTCGATGAAGTACTACAACCAAAGCATGAAACTTTAGTTATCATTCTAGTTGTCAACATGTGCAAAGTAAATCAATGCAAACAGCATAATTCTACCAATTGCAGTAAATAAGTCACTGTTATACCATGCGTACAAAGAGAGCGATCTCTGTATAGTGATTTCAGCTACAACAGTAATTATGATTGCGTAACATTAAGCTTTTATACATCCGAACACTTTTATACTGTTTCAAGCATTTGATCTACATAAAGAGTACAGGTAATCAATGTATTGTAGACTCCAATAAACAAGCTGTGATTCCACATAGATACCTGACTTGATCTTGTAATGTCTTCTTGTTCTATTTACGAATAAACTATTTATCGGAAGACTTATCTGAGTTTTGTGTAATCATCCAAAAAGAGAAATAAAGGAAAAAAAAAGACAGTAAATGAGCAAAAAAAAGAGAGAATGGGTCGTTTCAAATTAATTTAATAATTCAAAATTAATCCCTCCTTCTTTTTTCTTTTTCGTTTTTTTTTTTACAATAAAGAAGCTGCTGTTACTTTATTGTATTGTTTCTTCATATATGGCAACAGTCAATAAAAATAATGTTTTGAATGCGATTGGCGAAAGAGTTCATGAAAAACCCAGAAAGAGTGATTGTTTTAAAAATAGCTTTTGTAAAAGAGAAAAAAAAATTCACACTCAACACATTATCTAAAAAAAAATAATAAAAAAATCAATAATTTGGTTCCTTTCTCTCTTTTTTCTCCTTTTCTTCTCTTGATTGACATTCTTTGACCAAGAGATAATGCAAGAAGAGTCACGTACAGACCTTGCCTCTCTCTACTCTGGTGGTACTCCGCCGACAGAGGGAGCTATTTCCAATCTATTGGCAAATAGATACAAGCGCAATCTACCATATACCCAGTTGGGATACTCAAATCTCGTAGTCATCAACCCTTACCAACCACTAGAAATCCTCAACGATGCCACACTTCAATCATACGCCCAAACAGGATACAAAGATTTGTCTGAACAAAAGCCCTTTTTGCAGCCACACATTTATGAATTAGCCACCCGAGTTTATTTTCATATGCGACGTACAGGAGAAGATCAAAGTATTGTCTTGAGGTAAAAAAAAAAAAAAAATCATGTTGTTTACTTACTCTTGTAAAAAAAAGCGGCATCACAGGGTCTGGTAAAAGCACAACTCGAACACATTTCCTTTCTGAACTTCTACATTTATCCACACATAACAAAAAGGAAACTAAACTAAGCTCACAAGTCCAGAACGCCCTTGTTATCATTGAAGCCTTTGGTCATGCTCGTACCACACAAAATGCTTCAGCTTCTAAGTTTGGCATGTTTCAAGAAATTCAATTTAATGAGCGGGGCCGTATTCTGGGCACAAAGACACTCACCTATCAGTTTGACAAATCGCGCGTCACTCAAGTACCACCCAACGAACGAACATTCCACGTCTTTTACTCTCTTTTGGCAGGAACAACCATTGACGAAAGAACTGCATTACACATCAATTTCAAGCCTGAGTATTTTAATTATCTTGCTCAATCTGGATGTATTACGGCACCCAATTGGAATGATGAGATTCAATTCAGTGAACTAAAAAGTGCTCTGAAGGCATGTGGATTCAAGGCCAAGAATGTCACTCAAATCTTCCAATTGCTTGCTGCCATCCTTCATCTTGGTAACTTGCAATTTACCGAAAACACAGATACTTTGGCACAAGAAGCTTGTGTGGTAAAGAATACTGATGTCTTGGATATTGTTGCTGTTATGTTGGGTGTATCTCCTTCTAAATTAGAAACATGTTTGACTTATAAACTCAAGCTCATCGGTAAAGAAGTCTGTACTGTCTTTTTGAACCCTCAAACAGCTGCTGAACAACGTGACGATCTTGCTCGAGCTCTCTATAACGTCTTGTTTTTGTGGATTGTTGAAACAATCAATCGAAAGATTTGTTATTCTGGCGCAGAAGAACCAGCTAATGTTGTTGGCATCATGGATCAATTTGGTTTCCAAAACTTCCCTACAAACAGCTTTCAAGAATTTTGTGTCAACTTGGCTAATGAACGTATACACCAATTCTTGGTCAATGAACACTTCAACAATGATTATGGCTTGAATGCTACCATGACCCGTGATGGTGTTCCTTTGCCTTCCCTTATGATTCCTGATAATTCTGGATGCTTAGAACTGTTGCTTGGTAAAGACAAGAACCAATTGATTGAAGACGTTAGCAACAAGAAGGAAGTCAACAAGTCTTCTTCTTTAGGGTTGGGCGGTATGGTTGGCTTGATGGATCGTGATACAGCTAAGCTTCAAGCTGGTGCCTCTGATGCTAGTAATGCTAATCTTTTGGCTTCTTTACAACGTCAATACTCCAACCACGCTTCACTTTCTCGTGGTGCCAATGCCTATGCTTTTGGTATCAACCATTACTCTGGCACAGTTCAATACTCTGTCGACATGTTTTTAGAAAAAAATTTGGACGATCTGTCGCCTGATTTTGTCAACATGTTAAGAGACAGCAGCTCTAATGCCTTTTTGTCTTCATTGTTTGAAGGTACTTTGATGGCAACTGAATCCCATCCCAAGGATATGCGTACTATTGTCAAGGCACAACTTTCCAGTAAACCCACGCGTGGTCCTTCCATGAGAAGAAGAACAACAAAGCGTAGACCCAATGCTGACAAATCAGCCAACAATCCTCCTTTACCTGAAATTGGCGGTGCCAGCAAAGAAGATGAAGAGTTAGCTAAACAAATCAAACAAGCAGAAGAAGCTTACGAAAACATGCAACAAATGACTGTGCTTGATCAACTATATGTCACATTGCGAGATATCACTTTTTCAATGCAAGACACTAAGATATATAACGTTATTCACATTCGACCTAACGATATTCAAGCACCTGAATATGATCATAGCCGTGTCAAATCGCAAATACATGCCTTCTTGATTCCAGATTTGGTTGTGCGTAGTCAATTTGAATATGCAAACTATTATACTTTTGGTGAATTCCTCATGCGATACGAATCATTCATTGCTTCATTACAACTTCAGGATGCTTCGCTTTCAGATAAAGAAAAAATCGAACGTGCCTTAGCCATCATGAACTGGAATGCTTCAAGTGTTTTTGTGGGTCATGAAATGGTATGGCTGAAATATGAGATTTGGAAAGAGCTAGAAGATGGATTACGTTTGGCCGAAAAAGAAGAAAGAGCTCGTACAAAAGCAACTGATTTTGAAGCTAGTAATATTGATTCCAAAGGCATGAGTCAGACAGGAAGTTATCCAGCACAGGGTCAATATCTCTTATCTGATAATTACAACTACGGTGATGACGAAATGCGTCAACATTTAGCTCATCCTGGTGGACATGGTTACGAAGACAACATCAGTTTTAATTATAGCGAAGACAAGCGAGAAGTCGATGGAAGTCAATGGGGTGAAGAATCTGAATGGGGTATCAACGGTCTCTCTGAGGGGTAAGTTTGTTCATCTTATGTATAAATTTACTCATAATTGATATGATAGATTCGGTCCTAATATGGATATGAGTAAAATGATTGAAGACATTCAAGCACCCAAATTCGAAAATGTTGAGGAAGTGCCTATTACTGCTACTCGTCGATGGTGGGTTCGCTTTGTCTGGCTCTGTACATTCTGGATTCCTTCATTCTTACTCAGTTGGATTGGTAAGATGAAGCGTTCTGATATTCAAATGGCCTGGCGTGAAAAAGTCACTATTTGTATGGTTATTGCCTTCCTCTCTGCTATTGTATTGTTCTTGATTGTTGGTCTTGGTGAAGTTGTATGTCCTGGTACTAAATACATGTACTCTACAAGCGATGTTTCTGCTCATAATGTTGAGAATGACAATTACATGAGTATTCGTGGTAATGTATATGATATGACCAAATTTGCAAAGTCCAAGCATGGTTCTTCTGGCTACACTGCTACTGAAGACGAAATGACTACATTGGCTGGTTATGATGTTTCTTCTTCTATTCCTCCTCCATTGACTGTTGCTTGTTCTGGACTTGTTACCACCTCCACTGTCAAGTTGATTGCTAATACAACGGTCATTCCTCAATCTTCCTTTGTTCATTACTCTGGTGATCAATTGGCTATTTCTACCTTGACAGACATGTCAAATGCCTACTGGTACTGGCAAACATTCTTGCCAAAGATTCAAGACTACAGAAAGGGTTCTCTTGTGCATCTGATATCCGATTTGAAGGCTGATGCTGATGGTTGGGGCCGTAATGTGTTGGCTATAAATGGCAAAGTATATGACATTCAAGATTACACCAATACAGTTTCTATTTATGGTAGCACTAATGCAGAATACAGCTTTTTGAACGAAGTAGTCACCGATTTCTTCAACAACTATAGAGGAACAGATGCTACTGAAGCATGGAACACATACAAAAACAAAATGACAAGTGAAGAACAAGATATGAACATGGCTTGTCTGGACAATTACTTTATGATTGGTCAAGTTGATGAACGAAAGACAGCCCGTTGTATGTTTACCAACTATCTCTTGCTTGTCTTGGCTTGTTTCATGGTGAGTGTTACTGTAGTCAAGTTTTTGGCCGCTTTGCAATTTGGTAGTGCTCCTACACCTGAAGATCATGATAAGTTTGTCATCTGTCAGGTTCCCTGTTATACGGAAGATGAACAGTCTTTAAGAAGAACCATTGACTCTCTCACTACACTTAAATACGACGACAAGCGTAAATTACTCTTTTTGATTGCTGATGGTATGGTCATGGGTAGTGGTAACGACCGCCCCACTCCTCGTATTGTGCTTGATATTCTTGGTTATGACACCAAAATCGATCCTGAACCTCTCATGTTCAAGTCAATTGGCGAAGGTTCTAAACAACTCAACTATGGTAAAGTCTATTCTGGTCTGTATGAATGCGAAGGCCATGTTGTTCCCTATATCGTAGTTGCCAAGGTCGGTAAAGCTTCTGAAAGAGCCAAACCTGGTAACCGTGGTAAGCGTGATTCTCAAATGATTTTGATGAACTTTTTGAACCGTGTTCATTTTGACTCTGAAATGACACCTTTGGAACTTGAAATGTACCATCAAATCAAGAATGTGATTGGTGTAAACCCCAGCTTTTATGAATACATTCTCATGGTGGATTCCGATACAGAAGTAATGGATTACTCGCTCAATTATTTGATTTCTTCTATGCTTCATGATGGTCGTGTTATTGCTATTTGTGGTGAAACAGCTTTAGCAAATGAAAATCAATCATGGACTACTATGATTCAAGTTTACGAATACTATATCTCTCACTATTTGTCCAAGGCTTTTGAATCTCTGTTTGGCTCAGTTACTTGTTTGCCTGGTTGTTTCTGTATGTACCGCATTCGTACACCCGTCAAGAATGAACCACTTATTATTTCACCTCATGTCGTCCATGACTATTCTGAAAATCATGTTGACACATTACACAAGAAAAACTTGCTTTCTCTTGGTGAAGATCGTTACTTGACTACCTTAATGATGAAATACTTTCCTCAATACAAGATGAAATTCACACCTTATGCTATGTGTAAGACAGTCGCCCCGACAAGTGGCGTGTGCTTCTTTCTCAACGTCGTCGTTGGATTAACTCTACAATTCACAACTTGTGTGAAGTTGTCATGTTGCCTGACCTCTGTGGCTTCTGTTGTTTCTCTATGCGTTTTGTTGTGTTGACTGATTTGATTGGTACAATTACCTTGCCAGTTTCTTTTGCTTATTTGGTCTATTTGATTTATGTGATTGCTTCTGGATCAGGTCCTCTTCCAGTTCTTGCTCTTGCAATGATTGCTGGTTCTTATGGTCTTCAAATTCTTATTTTTATCCTCAAGCGTCAATGGCAACATATTGGTTGGATGTTCTTTTACATCTTTTCGCTTCCTTTCACTTCCTTTATTTTGCCCATCTATTCTTTCTGGCACTTTGATGATTTCTCTTGGGGTAACACACGTGTGGTTGTGGGTGATCAACAACGAAAGATTATTGTGACAGACGAAGAAAAGTTTGATGAAAAAATGATTCCTATGAAGAAATGGAGTGTTTATGAACAAGAATTATGGGAAATGGGTTCCCATGCCTCTGGACAAACAGGCATGACTGGTAACACTTACTCTAGCTATAACAAGGGTGGTATAGTGCCTCCAGGATATGATGCTCGCAGTCAATACTCTGGTTCTGTAGCAGGCGGCGATTTTGATTATTATCGTGATTCCAAGATTGGCGAGAAGCTAGGACGTAATACTAGACAATCATCTTATGCCTACAACACAGCAGGCCCAGGTTCTGTTGTTGGATCTGAATATGGAAGCAACAACATGATTCCTATGGGTGACTATGGCAACCGCAGTATGATGGCTACACCACCACCTGGCATGCCTATGCGTCCTATGTCCTACGCCAGTGCTGATTATATGAGTCAAATTCAACCCATGATGGGTCCCAACATGTACAATAACCCTATGTCGTTTGACCCTAATACTATGGGAGCACCCTCGCCAGCATTTAACCAAGGCCAGCGCAACTCTTCTTTTGATCACGTAAGCACCTTTTCTTCACACATGATAAACCAACAGCCAGCTGAATACGATATACCCATGGGCAACGTGAGTCAAGTATCCGTTCCACCAATGATGCCTGCTGGTTTCCCTGCAGATGATGAAATTTTGCATGAAATTAGAAATATTTTAGCGACAGCAGATTTGATGAGTATTACAAAGAAACAAGGTAAGCAAGAAGTGTTGCTTTTATCAAATACTAATGTATGTCTTAGTTCGTGAACAATTATCCCAAATCTTTGGCTGTGACATGAGTTTTAAGAAGGAATTCATTAATAGTAGCATAGAGCAAATCCTTCAAGGACACTTATAATCTTAAAAGAAAACTTCGTACATATATATATATAAAAAAAAAGAGTTTTTTAAATGGTATTTATTATTTAGGCGGTATGTTCTCCAATTTCAGAGATAACTGTTTGAGCTTCTTGAAATTCATCCAAGTCAGCATTTTCAGCATTTTCCTATGAACCTGTAAGTCTTTGTACAAAGGGAGCAGATAATACGTTACCAACTGATTTTGTAAGTCTTGATAAGCGTTTGCTAATCTCTTTTTGACATCAGGAATCATCTGATGTGTCTCTGCAAGAACTTCTTTCTGTTTTTTTTTCTGGTGTTATTGGTATTATTTTGGAACATGGTTAGTACTTGCCTGTTTCTTGATATCTGCTTCATCAGCATTTTCTGCAATAAGCTTGTCAATACGCTTTTGTTGCATCTCGGCTTCTTTAGCGTATCCGAGATGTTCCTTGTAAATTCTAGGGCGACATGAGCAAACTAAACCTACATAACCGAACAAGTATACTATTACCTCTTGACCACGTTGGTCTTGATTTTTAGTTGACTAAGAGGCATAAAATAGAATAAAGGGGGAAAAAAGAAGTGTCAATTGCAAAACAAACAGGACACGATGTTGTTTGTTGATTTAAACATCCGCACCGCACCACATATGGTCTGATACAAGTGCACTTTCTAAAGAACTTGAAGTTCGCATGAATGTATGTCTATGCCAAATCTATAACTTTATTCTTGGTAAGCAAGAGTTGCCTTATTTTTATGTATGGGATCAACCGTACTTTAATAGAGGATTTTATTTGAAGAAGCAACTTGATATTACATGACTTGTCTCTACAACGGAAAGACATCCTTGTCTTTTTCTTAGCCATATAAAGGTAGTATAAGGTTTGTTTATACATGCATAAACACTCTAAATACTTTAAAATCATGTTTATTAGCATACATGGTACCTTTGGGGTCGATTTGGACCAGAAAAAGCGACTTGTAAAAAATGGCCATTTTCACCTCAAATCCAAAGGGTACCATTCATGAAAAAAGCTCGTTTGACAGCACTTGATCTTCTTTTTCAAAATGCTGCTCGACGGCAAGCTGCAGCTTCAGCTGCCTCACAACAAGACGGATTGAATGAAAAGGTTAATGTAAAGGCAAACGTGCTTCAGCCTGATTTGATAGGCCAACAATCACCTCAACCTCAACATTAACTATGAATATTAAACATTATACAGTTAAAATCGCCACACCCATTAGATACCTCAGAACTTTAGGATATGACATCCTGGTGCTACAAGAAACTCATGCTTCAGATACTACTATTATAGATTTACTTAACACCCATTTTAACTGCAAGTCGAGCATTTGGACTCAACATTGCGGCATCATATCACTCTCTCATCACTTTACAATTACACCTGTCTCGGAAGGAATTGATAATGGTCGATACATATTGGCTGATATCCACTTAACTCGGGATTTGGAACAGTCGTCTACTATGGCATCTATAGCAACAATTTTAAATATCTATGGTCGTTCAGCGCTTCATTCTAATCGGTCAGCACTCTATACTGAGCTCCTGGATATCCCAATTGTCAAGGACACGATTATCAATACACATAACACAATATTCATTATGGGAGATTTCAACTATCAATATAAAGATCGCCGTTTAGATGGTACTTTACTTTGCGCACCTCCTGAATGGACGGATTTACTGGATGACTATTACATTGATATTTTTGGGAATGAGAAGCAGATTACTTGGCATAGTGGTAGCAACTCAGGAATCTTGGATTATATTTTTTGTAGTTCAGGTGCTCATCATCAGATCACTAGTATCAGTCAACAATTTTTGTCACCAGAGTGGACAAACCACGACCTCTTAGGGTTCTCATTCAAGTATCAAGACTCATCTGATCGTGGACCTGGTTCTTGGAAAGCGAATCCATTCTTAGCTCGAAACAAAGAGTTCAGGCAAGCATTAGCACTTCATTTAGAAAAAGAAGATCAAGTGCTGTCAAACGAGCTTTTTTCATGAATGGTACCCTTTGGATTTGAGGTGAAAATGGCCATTTTTTACAAGTCGCTTTTTCTGGTCCAAATCGACCCCAAAGGTACCATGTATGCTAATAAACATGATTTTAAAGTATTTAGAGTGTTTATGCATGTATAAACAAACCTTATACTACCTTTATATGGCTAAGAAAAAGACAAGGATGTGTATAAAATGTTTTCTTTTTTTTTACTGCTAAAGCATTTCCTTGCCTGCTGTCTTTATTGTGTAAATAATTAATGTTCTACTAAACTACTCATTTAAATATAATAACTTGCTAACACGCACTTGATCCATTAAGCTGGCGGCTCTTACGAGTCTGATGAACTAAATTTAAGTCGAACTAACCTAATTCTTATGACATTGAGCTATTCAATAGGTATCGGATTGAAATTTATAATCTAGGTGCGGTTTTTTCTCTATTAATTATGGTATTTCAATGTGTGTAGCTTTGTTATTTCTAGCTAAAACTTCCTCTCGTGTGTTCTTTCCCTAGATTTCTGAGAAAAACAAATCAAGCTTCTGTTAGTAACAATTACATTTTATTGAAAAAAATTACATTAGGTAAGAAAGAGCAGAAAATAGAAGGGGAATAAAAGAGAAATAAATTAGTAACAGATATTAACCATTCTATGTAAAATACTTACACAGATATGAGGAGGTAGTTGAATACTTCTCCCTAGAGCCATGTATCATGGTAGACTAGGAAACATTGATGTGTCTGTATCAATAGACGTAATGCTACTGGTATGGTTGTGCAAAGGCATTCATTAAGACTCAAGTTTGATCAACCCTTGTTTTGAGGAATAACAAAGAATAATGACCAAGGAGTGGATTATTAGTTTGTTTTTCTTTGTATTATACCATCTTCCCATTGTATTCACACTATTGCACAATTTGATCAACTAAGGCCAAGCTGTGATTGACGCCAAAGACTGTACCACCAAGTACTGATTCCTTTCTGTTTATATTATCTTAAAATGAACATTCCAACAGATCATCAACAAAAAACTGAGCGCGTTTAGGTATCATCTTGGCATATTAAAGAGCTCTTGGATAATGATACCTTTGTTGCGGAGGTCGAATGGCAAAAATCAGAGCTAATTCTTATTTCGGTCAGTGTACAGTGTTTCCAAGAAGTAATGTCGCAAACGTTGAAAAATTATAGTGCAAAATATACAAAATGCGATATCTTGGCGCGACAGCAATTTCTGGAAGAACTATATAAGTTAAATTCCCTGTTTTTTAGAGGAAAGAGTGTTTATGCCATTAATTTATTTGAGATTCAACCTTGGTTATATTAATCCTTTATCTACCATGCGTAGGTATTCGGAGCAAAAGAGAGTTATTTTTGTTATATGAAAGGTACCCATTGAGAGTTAGGGATTGCTCTTTTTAGCCGTTCTTGAGCGCTGTTCTTACTTTATAGCTTTTTTGATCAACAGAATATGTTACACTATTAGTTGATCTGATTTTTTTCCTTTATTTTTTGACTTTGCCACCCTCTACTTGATAATTTTTCTTTTCTTTCCAATCGTATTTACAGCCTCGATCCTTTTCTCTCCTTTACGGACACTCTACGGAGCTATAAATCCTGTCCCTAGAAAATAATTTACATTTATGCTCCCTCTCTTTTGGTTCGCATACTCCTTCCATTGAACACTATTACATCATTTTTTTTGAGAGATAAAACTTGTTTGATCTAGACTTCAAAATGGCGGTAGATTTTTAGCTGGGCTATGTAAGTCAGTGTTAATACTTTACACCTTCATCATTAATCACACCCCCTCTCATCCTTTAAGCATACCTCATTTGATTCAGACTAGATTTAGCTATAGCGTCTAGCCCTTCTTAAATCTCGCATCAGGCCAGTTGTTACTGCTAAACTACAAGATAACTATCGGTTTTTTATCCAACTTAATTATTACAATATTCTGATCTCCCTCTCCATAATAATAGCTCATTGTTTCTCTTCTTTCCCTTAATTAAACGATTGCCGCCATAAATGCATATAATAATCAAAAACTGATAGAATGCATAATAGCTTGTATCCTATCATCGTTACTATTATCATTAACATGCTTTTGTTATAATAGGCAGATAAGGAGTAATTTTTAATATACGCATTTTACTTTGACAAACAATAAAACGCGCTAAGCTCATTTTCTTGTAGTCAAACAACCAAACAGTTAAATATGTCTACCTTCTAAAGAGTAACACAGCACTGCCCCTCTTTTCATTACCTAATATGACTTGTTTTCTTTAGACTTCGATGGACTTTCGAACAAGCCACAGAAACAATTTTGATACGGAGTAATTAAAATAAAGCTTTTTGGTTTGAAAATTTTTTTTCATTGTTGTTCTTTCATACAAATATAATGGTAAGTTGAAAGAAGAAGAAAAGCAAGAAAGGACTGCAATTTACTAATATTTATAATATAGTCTGCTGCTGTTAACCCTAAGGCTTTCCCTCTCGCTGACGCTGCTTTGACCAGCACCATTCTTGACTTAGTTCAACAAGCTTCTCATTACAAGCAACTCAAGAAGGGTGCTAACGAAGCCACCAAGACCCTTAACAGAGGTATTTCCGAATTCATTATCATGGCTGGTAAGTTAGAGAGAGAGACACACACACAAGAGGAAGCGATACTGACTTTTTTTAGCTGATACTGAACCTTTGGAAATCCTCCTTCACCTTCCTCTTTTGTGTGAAGACAAGAACGTTCCTTACGTCTTTGTTCCTTCCAAGACTGCCTTGGGTCGTGCTTGTGGTGTTTCTCGTTCCGTTATCTCTGCTTCCATTACCACCAACGAAGCTTCTGACTTGAAGCCTCAAATTTTGAACATCAAGACTCAAATTGAAAAGCTCCTCATCTAAGTTATCATCATCATCGTTGCATCTAAATAATATTTTTTTTCTTAATGATCATCGTTGGTGCTGAGGGCGTTTTTTATTACTTATATTATTTTGACTTATTGTTCAAATGATGCACTGGCAGTGAAAGAAAAGCTTTATTTTAATTATATTCCTTGTACAATCTGTCAATGTGTAAATAAGCATTCAAAATAAACAATTCGTTTCAAATAATCAATTTCCTGTATTAAATTATCCCTGACAATCAAATTTCATCGAATTGTGTTGTTGTGTGTAGATCCCTGCATCCCTTTTGAAAGGGGGAAGAAAAAAGATACACACACACAAACATAGACATATAGGAGATCAATCAATATAAATAGACTTACTTCAACCTGGATCTTCCTCTTTTTTTCTTTCTCTATATCCATACAGTTTTTATATAGCATGAAGTCCTCCATTACCTTATCTTTTGTTACTGTTCTTGCCTTCCAACAATTGGTTGTCGCTCAAGAAGGTAAATTATATGCTTGTCATAGAATGATATTGATTCGTTCTCATTTGATATAGATAACAGCGCTGCTGCTGCTGCTACTGTTGCTGCCACTGATGCGCCTGCTGCTGTTACTGACATTTACTGGTGGAAAACGCTTTTGACTGGTACTGAAGTTAACAATTACATTACTGGTTCGGCAGGTGCTACTGCTGATGCAACTGCTACTGCTGATGCTACTACTCCTACCGCCGCTGCTTCTGAAGACGCTATGGCTACCACAAGTGCAAGCGAAAAAGCAATGACCTCTGTTGCTGCTTCTGCTGTTAGCACTGAATCTATAACTGATGCAGTTTCTGCTGCTATTAGTGAAGTATCTGAGGCTATTGCCTCTACAACCACAGATACTATTCGAGCTGCTTCTACTTCTAGCGCAATTGCTTCTGCTATCTCTTCTGGTGCTATTCCATCTGTATCAGGAACCAGTATGTCAGTTTCTGGAGGTAATTCTAGATCTTTTTTTAATGTTTATACAGACCCCCCTAACTGATGATTTCCCTCTTTAGTATCCGCATCCGTAGCAACTCCTTCTTCTTCTGCTGTTGTAGCATGGTCAAATTCTTCTTCTACTGCTGCTATTCCTCCTCGTTCATCTGCACCCAATGTTCCTGTGGCTGCTAGTAGTGTTGTAGCTAAGCCCAGTGGATCAATCATTCCTCCTGCCACTAGCAGTGGCTCCTCTCCCGTAAGCGGTAGTGCTCAAATCGTTGCTGATCTAGGTAGTGTTTTGCTTTCGGTAACAATTGCGGCTGTTTTAGGAAGTATCTTAAATTAGATGGCATCTCCTTTTTATTCCTCTTTTTATTTTTTATACACACAATGATAATAGTAAATAAAGCCAAAAGAAAAAAACAAAAGCCTTGAACTCTTTTTTTTTGTCCCACATGAACTTTAATAAGGAGAAAAAAGCATTGCAATGTTTGTGGCTATTTAAAACCCCTTCTTACCTTGATAAATTGTTCTTTTTTTTCCCATTTTCCCTTTCTTTTCTTTTTCTTTATACATACAAACAAAAAAAATGAAATTCTTTGCTGCTGTTTCTGGTATTGCTTTGGCCCTTACAAGCGTTGCTGCACAATTGACTGCTCCTATGCAAAACTACAATGTGAGTAGCCCTGTCTCCAATGGTCCTTATGTTGCAGGCCAAGTCTTACCTTGTACTATTCAACTTTTCGAAAATGTCGTATCAGGTAAGAAACAAGTAATCCTGTTTACAATTTCTAATCTATCATAGACATTGCGCTTTCTATCTCTCTTACTTCTGTTGCCTCCAGCAATGTCAGTTACACCATTGCCTCTTCTGTTGATACCTCCAAGACAAGTGCCAGTGCTAAACAGAACGGTAATGTTACTTATTACGAACATTCTGTCAATTACAACATTCCTACCACCATTACCCCCGGTGCATACAATGTCGTGTTTTTCGATTCCCGTACCAACACTCACCTTGACGTCCCTATCAACGTTTTACCCGTCGCCTCTGCTTCCGTCGTGAAGTCCGCTTCTGCTACTGGTGCTTCATCCTCTTCTTCTCCTTCCATCTTCAAAGGTACAAGCGATGTTGCTGCTATGGCTCCTGGTTTGACTACCAAGGTCATTGTCTCTCTTGCTGGTGTTGCTGCTTTGGCTTACATGCTCTAATCTGTACTCTCGAAAAAAAAAACTTCTGTTTAACAAATAATCAGGATAGAAAATATGTACACATCAACCCAAAAAAAAACTTATATATACACAATCATATAATCCTATTCTATCGTCCTTGTTTCCTTGTCTACAAGTAATTCCCTGCTTCTTTTTTTTTTTCTTCTAATAAATAATCAAATCATTACACAATTCACTTTTTTTCTTTTCTTTGTTGACTCGTTACACTAGGATAAATTGTTGTACAACAATCAATACTATTTATGGGATAACATCTAAATTTATCGTATGCAAAGAGTTACACAAAATCATACATTATTTATAAATGTTTGTTGATCTGTAAACAACAGGATTATCATACGATAACTGCTTTAGACATACATACTTTATCATTATCACATAGTGTGTGCATGAAAGCAGTAGCAGTAAATTGTGTTTATAAAATTAAGATTGGTCTAATTTTAATGCAACTCTATCGTATTGCATATGCGTGTATGTATGTGTATGTATACAAAGAGAGAGAGAGAGAGAGAGGGGGGGGAAAGATAATAGGGAGAAGACGATGAAAATGAAAATGCAACATAGTCAAGCAAGATAAATTCATGCATACACGTTTAAATGAGTTTGTACTTGACATGTCACTCTCTCGCAAATCACGTTACAGCAAGCGAAATGTCAATAAATTGATTTTGCATGAAAATAAGAAAAAAGTACACGATAAAGCTGCTTAGTCATTTGAATTCTCCAGCATACATGCTTAATATGTATTGTGGCTTGATCTTTTACTGCCTCTCTTTCTCTCTCTTTTTTTTTTTTTTTTCTCAGCGAGTCATTCGTTTAAGAATCACATTTTCGAACTGTACTCACTTTGTTAATCTAAAGAAACAAAAAAAAAAAAAAGAATGTTTGGAACATAGAGAATCTATAAAAGAAAATGTATCATTGGTTAGTCATCTACACGCGTCATTTCGACACATAACAAAGATTTAAACTTTTGTGCGAGTAACCTTTTTTTTTGCATTTAATATGAACAATGATGAAGAGCTTTTTCTTTAATGTCCTTCAAGTAGTATTAACAATATGTCATTTCGTTGTGTCACTGAATTTCATACATTTGAGAAAGCCAAGCACTGTGTTCATTATCTCGACCAATCAAGACGCTTCCCAAGCTTTTCATCGTTTTCTCTCACACGCATGTTTCCCCACTTTCTTGCACTTCAAGTGCCTTGTCAACAGGAGATTCGGATGAATCACCTATAAAATGGACCTCAAAAGACGAAGGGAAATTCCATTACATTATACGATTTCATTCGTGAGAAGTACAATGCCAGTTTCATGCTATTCGTATTATTTACCTTTTATAGGGCCATTACATATAGTAGTTTGTAACACATCTTGATCAAAGTTCAACTAGACATATTCACAGAAGCGAAACTAGTTCATATCTTCTCACCCACTTTCTAAAAAGGATAATCCTCGGATTTATTGATGATGATGTTGTTTTGTATAAATACAAGCGTGTTTTCTTTCTCTCCCCCTCTTTTCTTTTATGTCAATTACATTCAATGCCTAATAAAGATATATTAGTGGATGATAAGGCGGTTAGTGTCTACAGCAATAAAGGCGACTTGAGCGATGATGATGTCCGATCTGTCCATCAAACTCCACTTATCAAGAGTGAAGCCGAGAAACGTCTTGTTCGAAAAATCAACTTGACTTTATTACCGTTTGTTGGTGCCATTGTCTTTATTCAATTTGTCGATAAATCTACACTCAGTATCTCGGCTGTCTTGGGTCTCATTCAAGACACAGGCTTAACTGGTAGTCAATACAGTTGGCTTGGTTCTTTTTTCTACTTGGGCTACATTTCATTTCAACTTCCAAATAATTACTTGATTCAAAAGATACCTATTGCTAAATACCTTGGATCATTGCTTGTCGTGTGGGGCATTGTCATGGCATGCACTGCTCTCTGTCATAACTTTGCTCAATTAGCCGTCCTAAGAACATTGTTAGGTCTATTTGAAGCAGGCTGTTATCCTTGTCTATTGATCATTATCAATACTGTCTATCGAAGATCAGAACAATCTGCTGCTTATGGTTTTCTTTGGTTAAGGTACACTTCAAATTGATATATGATAACATGTATATTTATATTCAATAGTAATGGTGCAGGTACAATGGTTGGTGCAGCCTGTGCTTATGGTATCTCTTTTATTAATAACGCAAATGGCATTTCATCATGGAGATGGCCCTATATTATCTGGGGCGCACTCACTGTTCTCTTTGGTGTTCTCGTCTTTTTCTTTTTGCCTGATAGTCCTAACCACTTTATGTTTCGACTGACAGAAGAAGAGAAAGAGATTGTTAAAGAAAGAACCCGCGACAATGCTGTAGTCCGTGTCTATGAAGTCAAGATGTCTCATATTTGGGAAGCTATTCTAGAACCTCGTCTCTGGCTTGTTTGTCTTTCTACATTCTGTAACAATCTTCATACAGGTGGTCTTGTAGTATTTAGTACATTGATTGTCAACAGTCTTGGTTTTAGCGTAAGTTGCATGTCTTTGCTTTGGTTCATACATTCACCTTTTTTTTTTTTTTTTATATATATTAGGGCCAAGAATCCATTTTGCTTCAAGTGCCTAGTGGCTGTGCCTCTGCTTGTTTCTGTGCTCTCGCTGTCGTTATTGCTCGTAAATCAGGTCAATTGTATCTTGGTGCTGCTGTCTCTTCCACCATTTCATTGATTGGTGTGATTCTTTTAGCAGTTCTTCCTAATTCAGCCATTAAGCTTTTGGGTTACTTCCTTGCCTGGGCTATGAATGGTACTGCTGTCATTTTATTGACTGTAGTCGGGGCCAATGTGACAGGCTACACCAAAAAGTTGTTCTACAATGCTATGAATATGATCTTTTTTACCTTGGGTAATTTTGCTGGTCCACTTGTGATGCTGTCTCGAGAAGCACCTACTTACAAGACAGGGATGATTGTTTACTGTATTGGCAATGGTGCCATTCTGCTCATGTTGTTTGCTGTTCGTCAACTTATGGCAAGACAAAACAAGAAAAGATTAGCTAATCCTCCTACTGAAAAGTATGATGGTACAGAAGATCTTACTGACCAACAAAACAAGTCTTTTATCTATAAATTGTAATAATAAAGTCCACCTCAGACAATCACATATACTTAAATCAACTCAAAAAACATGTTTTCCATACCTCTTCTTACTCATTTTTTGCCATTCATAACAAACAAAACAAAACAAAAAAAGGTCTGTTTTTCTCTTTTGTCTAGATTACATAGTTTATGTTTCTTTAATAAAGTTGCATGGTGATAAAAAGAGAGAGAGAGATGTACATTGTGTGCTGTCAAAATAAATTATTCTTTGGTAGGATAAACCCATTGACCTTCAGGAATAGGGGTTTCAAGCGGTTCCCAAGCCTTCCATTCTTCCATCTTTGCAACCATTTTTAATTCATCTTCGGCCTGCATGATGACTTCTTCAATTTGACCAACATTGATCTTTGATTCAATTTCTTGGATATCTTCAGTTGATTCGACGATAGATAAACGTTGTTGAGTGAAAGCTTCAGTAGCTTGTCTGTAAACAGCTGTAGTAGGAAGACGAGATAAAGCTTCGAGTGTGTTGTTGTAAGTTTGGATCAAGTGAGGACGAGGGTTAGCGTGAACAGGAATACCGGCAAGGCCAGTGGAGATCTGCTAGTGTAAATTTCGCGTAAACTAATGAGTTAAATATTACCTTGGTGGCAGCTTGAAAGAGAGGACGAGAGAAAAGCATCTTGCTCGATAGTGTAAGTGAGTGAAACTACTAAAAAGAAAAAAGAAAGAAAAAAAAAGTGAAATTGAAGATTAACCCTGCAAAAAAAAAAAAAGGAGTCTGTTCGACGTCACTCTTTGTACGGCTCATTGGACCATTTTTTTAATATCCACTGCAGTTCTTTCATGCTGCGTTTATGAAGACTTGTTTAGCCATTTTTAAGATTGCCTCCTACAAAAAATTGAATAAATAAATAAGCTAGTTTATGTATTGGTAGCTCAAAGAGATAGCTGATGTGTTGGCGTTATAATAAAAGAAATGATTCAGGTCAAAATATGTCTTGTCATCACAATTTCAACTCAGCCAGGGGCACACAAAAGAGAAAGAGACATCAAATACCGCTTCCGAAAATTAAAATATCACTGTTGTTTGTATCTAAAGCGGATTAGCAAATATGTTTAATTAACGGATGCATATTTAGTGTCTACCGTTTACCTTTTGAGCACCAATGTCTAGCGTTTGTTGTCATAAAAAAGAGTGTGAAAGTGGAGTTTTTCTCTTTTTTTTTTTTGTGATACCCAAAAGCCATAGCTTTCCCCTTTTTTTTTCTGTTTCTTTCTTTCTTTCTTTCTCTTTCTTTTATCTCTTATTTTCTTTTAAACGATGACAACAGCAGCATCATCTATTCTTTCTGAACGACAAAAAGATGAACTGTAAGTAAATAATATATATATATGTATATGTATATATACGCAAGTAACACGATGGAAATCAAAGCCATAAAGCCATTTTAGATTATTTGGCTACAAGTGGATTTAGTCAAGCCTTTCTTGCTTTAAAGACAGAATCAGCCAATGATGACTTTATACCTGATCCTAAGCAAAAATATTCTGGTTTACTTGAAAAGAAATGGACTTCTGTTATCCGATTACAAAAAAAGGTAACCACAATATATAAAGTGACATGATTGACAATCATAGATTATGGAACTAGAAACAAAATCAACTCAGATGCAAGAAGAACTCAATAATGCTCCTACTCGCAAACAGACAAGCTCAGTAGATTGGATCCCAAGGGCGCCCGAAAGATATGCTTTAATGGGGCATCGTAATCCTATCACGCGTGTTGCTTTTCATCCTGTGTATCAAGTATTAGCTTCTGCTTCAGAAGACACAACCATCAAAATATGGGACTATGAGTCTGGCGAATATGAAAGAACGCTTAAGGGCCATACAAAGGCTGTTCAAGACATCACATTTGATGCTAAAGGAAACCATCTAAGTAAGTCGAACATGTATTTATAGTTATGTTTATTCTCTCTTTGTAGTCTCCTGTTCTGCCGATTTGACAATCAAGGTCTGGGATACAAATAATGACTATAAATGTATTCGAACACTCTATGGTCATGATCATAGTGTGTCTTCTGTGGCTATTATACCTTCTACTGATATTATCGTATCTGCATCACGTGACAAGTCTATTAAATTGTGGGAAATGTCTTCTGGGTAAAGGGAACTGGATATCATCTCACATACTCTAACCTCTCTCTTTCTTTCTTTTTCTTTTTTTAGTTATTGTGTCAAGACACTTGTAGGTCATCTTGAATGGGTTCGTAGTATATCTGTAAGCGAAGATGGTAAATTGTTAGTGAGTAGTTCAAATGACCAGGTAAGAAATCTATCTATAATAATAAAAAAAAAGGCTTATTTCTTTCAATAGACAGCCCGTGTATGGGATATCCAAAAAGGAGAGACAAAAATGGATTTTAGAGGCCATGAACATGTTGTTGAATGTGCCATATTTTTGCCTGTCAATTCTTATCCTTACATTCTAGAATGGCTCGAAGGGAACGTGAGTATAAAACATTATTGGCTCATGTGCTCATTTCTACATAGGTCAAAACAAATAAAGATCAAGCACTACCAGGACAATATGTCGTAACTGGTTCAAGAGATAAGACAATCAAATTATGGGATACTGTATCAGGCCAATTATTAAGCACTTTAGTAATGATTCATAATACACACACACACACACTAGATACTAACTTTTTTTTTTTTTAGGTGGGCCATGATAATTGGGTAAGAGACCTTGTTGTCCATCCTAGTGGCAAATACCTTGTGAGTGCATCTGATGATAAGACAATGAAGATATGGGATTTACGAAGTGGTCGATGTGTAAAAACTGTTGAAGCCCATTCCCATTTTGTCACCTGCTTAGCCTACTGTACCACAACGCCCTTGGTGGCCACAGGCAGTGTTGATCAATCACTCAAAATTTGGCAATGCCGATAATTATTATTTGTATATTCAAAGTTAATCATCATGTTGATGTTGGTGTATGTATAATTTGCTTAGATATAACTTTTTTATAAAATAAACTATAATTTAACTGCAGTCCAGAATGCACAGTTATATACATATTTTAACATACCATCTGGATTAGATGTATATGTAGTAGAGACCATATCTTGTTGCTGTACAATGTATAAGTTGACGAATAAAAAGCATCAACATTACCTTGAATTCAAAACCTATCTTTTTAGCTACTTCCTTGACTTGATCAAGACTGAGTTCAATAGAAGAATCACCTGAAGTAGAATCTTCAAAATGATAGAGCAAAGGACCTATGTTTATCCAGACACCATTGGGCTTAAGAGCCTTGTGAATCACTTCCATGTATTCAATAATATTCTTGGCAGTATCCAAAAAGAAACAAGTAACAACCACATCCCAGGCACCCTTATGTTCCTGTGCGCCATAGACTTCAATAAAATCACCAGCAACCATGGAAAAATCGACAGTAGAGGGTAAATCAGAAGGCAGCATATCAGGAATCTTGACTGGTCTCAATTGGTTTTCATCAGATTGGATGTTGGAGAAAGAGTGAACAAAAGGGAAGATACTGTGTTCTTGTGGCTTTTTCAATCTATTAAGAACAAAATGCGATGCAAAGAGCTATATATATATATATATATATATGTATGTATGTTTATCCATTAGACTGCATACAATGTATGTGTATTTTTAGTTACCATATAATACGAGAATTCGTTTCCTTTCGATAGATTTAATTCGTAAGGCCCTTAGAAATAAATTCACTTACCTTGACAACTAAAGCCTAAATAACGCATTAGAATAACCATTGACTGTATTGTAATGGCAACTTGCCTGCTTTTGCGATATCAAACGCCAATCGACCTAAACCAGCACCTGGTACGAGTACACGGACATCACCTCTAGTACAAGTCAGTATAAGTGTTTCATCTTGCATTATTTACCTTTTTTCGATCGGTATGTCCTTAAAGATATTATTTAATGCTTGCACGATAGGATCATATGTAGCTTTGCGTTCTGCTTCTCCCTATCATAAACTTTATTTTAAATATTATACGCAAAACATAAAATAAAAATGTAACCTCCATGGACCAATCTCGAACAAATTGTTTCAAAGTGCTTCTGACCTTATCCATATCCATTGGTGTCACAGGTGGTTTGTTCTATATCAGTCATAAGTCAAGCATTTTAGGAGAAAATTCATGTGTATACCGTCTGTTTCTGCTGTTGTTGATGTTGAGAAACAGCAGTCATAGGGTCCTGACCATCTAGAAACATGCTGGCGCTTTTTACAATATGACGAATGAAATTCATATTCTCCTCAATGCATTTGTCTACATTATCCACCTTGTGTAAATAATCAGGTATGAGTTGTTTGTGGTGTTCGGGTAGTGCGAGGTAGTCGCGTCTTCTTCTGTGGTTATGGTTTAACGCGTGTCTTCTATAATAAGCAAAAGCAGTGATAACTTTGACTAAATGAAATTGCTCTGACTGAGTAGGATCATGTGCTGTTTCGTGGTGGTGCATTCTATTGAAAATAGAAGAAAATAATAATAAAAATAAAAAATAAAAATGAAAGAAAAGATGAATTTTAAGCCACCTTTTCTTTGATAGATAACTCTCTATTTTCACATGTCAGATTGTGGCACATTTACGAAACCTTTAAGTTTTTTTTTTTTTTTTGTTTATTGCAGGCACTCCGCAAAGCGCGCGTGATTTTATGTATTCATGTATATATAAATCTAGTTGTTTTCCCTTTCTTTTTTTTTACATTTCTTCTGATTATGTCTATGATCAATGTCTGTACAATGGATATAAACCGTCAACACCATCGAATGTCAACTCTTTATCGTCGTTTTTATTATCAACCAAGCAGCAGTACTGTTGATAGTTTGAGTACAACCACTTCTGTATCTTCTTCTTCTTCTTCGTTTGAAGTGATCTTTTCAAGGTTATTGGATGCTTTGATTTTTACTTCAGCTATTGCCATTACAGCTTATAGCTATCTGACTGGTACTCTGCTCGTAAACACTACTCCTAATAACAATATTGAAGCACCACCCACAGCTGGCTCACATTCTCCTTCATTATTACATCATCACCGCCATCATCATCATCATCTGTATACCAACAAAAAGAATCCTCAAGAACAAGACCTTCTGATGGAAGATGCCAAAAGGAAAAGAACACAAGCATGGGCAGAACAACAAATCATCGTACCCCAAGTCAAGAAAAGATCCTGCTCTACTAGTCATCATTTCCCTGATAGTAACAAAAAGGTATGTTGTTTCTATATATGTAGTTGCTTACAAATTTTAGTCTGTTTCTTCTTCACGAGACCATATGAAACGCGAAAAGAAGCGAACACAATCCCTGCCAGTCAATAAGATTGGAAAAGAAGACGAAGTCTTATCAAGAATGGAAGAAAGACTGAAATCAATGATTCAAGAAGGTCAAGAAGCCCTTTCAAGCCCTGTAAAATACGATAATCATACTCTATAATCTGTACATTTGTAAAAAGAAAAAAAAAAACATGGTCACACAAGCCGAAAAAAAATGTTGATGCCCCTAGTGATATTAAAAAAAAATGTCAATTGTGTTTTTTTTTCTCTCTTTCTTTTTCCCATTCGAGAAAAAATATTTGTCATGAGTCGCCTTATTTTAAGACAGTTGAATATCACAGAGAAGCGTTCTTTTTCTCTTTTAAAAAACAACCGAGTTCTTACTCAGTTTGCCACCCGTCCTTTAACTATGTCTACTGCCACTAGACGTTTAAATCAAACTAAGAACTATTTCAATCCTGCTGCCAATCATCAATTCAAAAAGGTACTGATAGGCACGATAAACATTCTTGACTTATCATTTATAGATGTCTACTGTATCTAACTTGGAAGCTGTTCAAGTAAGCTCACGTCATACAATGAGACAAAAGGATTGATCATGTCTATATAGGCTGAAGTGATTCCCAAAAGTAATTTAGCAGTACGCGAAATTGTTTTGAACCGTCCTAAAAAGTTGAATGCTTTGAACATTTCTATGGTTCGCGCTATCAAACCTGAACTTCAAGTAAGTTACTTTTGTGTATGTGTGTGCGTGTATGTATTCACTCATGAATTTTTGTTTAGGCGTGGGAAAAGTCTGATTTAGCAAAGATTGTTTTACTCAAAAGTTCTGGTGGAAAAGGCTTTTGTGCCGGGGGTGACGTGAAGAGTAAGTTTGAGTGAAGAATACATGATGCTTATTTTTATTTTTATTTTTTTTTGTTAGCTGTTGTTGATTTAGCTGATGCTAAAGATCCTAATGCCACCAAGTTTTTTGAAGAAGAATATCAATTAGACCATTTGATTGCTACACTCGACACGCCTTATGTTGCCATTATGGATGGCATCACCAGTAAGTAGAAAACAAAAGAATACAAGCATTAATGCATTTACTAGTGGGCGGCGGTGTTGGTCTGTCTGTGCATGCTCCTTTCCGTATTGCCACTGAAAACACATTGTTTGCCATGCCCGAAACTGCTATTGGTTTCCTTCCTGAAGTAGGTGGATCCTTCTTTTTGTCTAGATTAGATGGCCAACTTGGTCTTTACCTTGGTTTGACGGGCAAGCGTCTTAAGGGCACTGATGCCTTGTATGCTGGTGTTGCTACCCACTATGTTCCTTCCTCTCGTCTTGGAGCATTAGAAGCTCGTTTAGCTGAACTCGACAATGCTACACACGACATGGTCAACCAAGCCATTGAAGAATTCTCTGCTGAATTAGACAACGAACCTGCCTTTTCTTTATCAGGTGAAGTGCGTCAAGCCATTGACCGTTGCTTCAAATACGATACCATTGGTGAAATCATGACAGCCCTTGAAAAAGAACCCGAGAACGACTGGACCAAGGAAACACTCAAGCTGATGCGCTCCATGTCTCCTACCTCACTCAAGGTGACTTTGCAACAAATCCGTAATGGTGCCAGTTTAAGTTTAGCTCAGTGTTTTAAGATGGAATACCACCTTGTTCAAAAATTCTTGCAAGGACATGATTTCAAGGAAGGTGTTACTGCCACTTTAGTCACACGCTCAAAGCCCAACTGGGTGCCCAGTGAATTAAGCCAAGTGGACGATCTCAAGATCAAAAAAGACTATTTTGATTCACCTTCATCTCAACGCTTAGAATTATTATCCAACCGTGACTACAAGAATTATCCTCACCGTAAATATATGCTGCCTTCAGAAGAAGACATTAAGCGTGTTGTTACGGGTGAAGCTGCTGATGTTGGTCAATATGCTTTGAACCGTCAACAAGTCGTTGATCATCTTGTTAGAGAACGTCAAGGAAAGCAAGGTGTTACACAAAAGGTCTTGGAAGTATTGGATCGCAAGACTGTAGAAAACAAAAAAGATGACAACAAGAGCTTGAAATGGGTTTATTAAAGAAAATAAATAAATAAAAAGTCTAGGGTTTGTTCACTACTTCTTGAACCATTTCTAGAATATCATTTGATTCGTAACCCAAGAGACGTGCAGCACCAATAAGAGCACTGAGACTCTTCATAAACAGACCACGGCCAATTTCTTTGTTTTTAAGGTCTGGTTGAGAAGGGGATTGAGTGCCTGATTCAGGGTAAGCACCAGGTACATTTTGTGGTTCAGATAGACTCAGATCTTCCATGGTATTTTTCAATCGAGAGACTGCTTTGGGTAATGGATTGATCTGAGTCATGGAATGGACAACAAATGGTCTACTGGCTGTACGACTCTGTTGTTGTTGGGGAATTGAGTTTTGCAGAATTTGAGTTAATTCCGATAGAGCAGCTGTGTGAGCGTCCATCAAGTCTGGCACACTAGGAACAGTAAACAGTGGGTTGTAAGATTGATCGTATTCCTCGTCTAACTCTTGTTGATTCAAGTCTTGTAGTGCGTGCAAGAACCGTCCCTGAGGTTTATCTTGTTCTTCTTTTTCTTTTTCTTCAGGGCCAGGTGTAAGTGTGCCGGGATCTTTGCTCCAACGGGTATAATACTCATCTTCAGAATCCGAATTTTTAGGATCCATACTAAATATTAGCTTCTTGGTCTTCTTGGTCTTGTTGGGATCACTCGATTCTTCATCCGTAGACCAGTCACCCCAATAATCTTCAGGTGCTTCTTTAGTCCCTTTTGTACTCTATGTCAAGTTAGTGATACACATAGCTAAATGAGAGAAAGAGAAAGAGAGAGTCTTACGTCAGGTGTGCCAGCTGTAAAGACTCGTTTGTTCCTTGTGACTTTAATTAGAAATATGCGCTCCGCATCTTCAATCGTTCTTGACCAATTCTCAAACACATCACGCCACTCTTCGTCCGTCAATTCCTTTGTGTTGTAGTACTTGAGATCAGACATATCCCCACTGCCTTCTTCTAGTGTTAGCACAACCACAAAATGATGCGCGTCCTTTTCGGCAAATTCGACGATGGCATGCAGTGTGTCTGCATCCAAACGTTTATAATACACGGGATTTTGATAGATCTTGTCGGCAGCAGAGTCACTCAGTGCTTCAATCATGGCAGGGCAGTTATCTTGTTGCCATTGAACAACCTTATCCCAAGCCTCAAAGTCGTTTTCGTCTAAGGAGGGACCCAGGATACGAACCCGTTGGCGTAAGAGTGGAGAAGAAACAGGCAAGAGTTTCAAATAGTGATGTTGTTGACGTTGGTCCAGTGCAGAATAGGCTAAGGAACGTACAATGTTCTCATTGGCATAATCATCAATGGCTTCCATAGTGAATATTTTCTAAAAAAAAAGAAAAAGAAAAAGAAAAAGAAAAAGAAAAAGAACGGGTGTGAGAATCTCTATTTTTTGTTGACTTTCAAATAAGGTGTAGTCCATTCGCGTACAAAGATATGAAAATAAAAAAATAAAAAGTTGTGAAAAGACGCTTTTTTTTTTCTTTAGATTGCTTTTGGCTAAATAAAACATTCCATGAAGAGAACAAACATTATGAACTGATACTGTCTAATTGAATATGTACTTGTTCGATAAATAAGAATGATTTGGTATATGTACAAAATATATAAGCATTGTTATTGATCTTGTTTGCATGATAAACAGAATACTTGAGTCAAAGACAATGAATAACTAAGGTCTAAATCAATACATTGCTCAAAATCAATCAAGATACTTACTCTAATACAGAACACAGACTACAATATAGCTGTTGACAAGAATGACAAGGTTGTAAGCAATTTTGACAAGCCATATTTTCACAAAAGTGGCATTTTTCAGTTATGTCTGCCGTCATTGAACATTTTGGACACTGAGTTACTTGAGTGGATATATGGTTGTTATTAAAGTATTGATAAGAAGGTTCTGTTTCCATTTTGCTTGAGGATTGAAGGTTTCTTTGAGCTCTCATAAGCATAGCAAACGTGTTTTGTGCTATGAACATTAAATAGGTTATTCTTTGGGTAATAATGTACCTATTTTTTGCTTCTCTACAAGATCTTCTTTATGTTTCTGTTTTAACACATTGGCAAATCCTGCATCGTCGTTACGTCTTTTGGTCATCAAAACAAGATAAGAAAGAGAAGCGTGCGTTCCTTTTTGAGAAGAATAAAAAAAAAGTTTTTTTTTTTAATAACAGACAGAACAAGGTCTTTTAGCAGAAGTATTTCATTAGATCAAACAAAGAATAAGCTCCTTTCTTTCCTCTTTTTTTTTATTGATGATAGCAATGAAATTCTAGTTTCTTTTGGCTGAGAAAAGGCTCTTGAAGTTGTTGACCAAATCATCCAACATGGCCAAGATTTCATTTTCCCTTTCATGAATTGATTTGGTATCAAATTTATCATTCTTGCTATTTTTTTGATTTTGTTCCTGGTCTTCACCTTCTTCATCTGTAGGAAAATCATTCAAGTGTTCTTCAATGATATGTTGTCGATGGGTCTCTTTATCTTCACATTCAAACCAGCAGGAAGGACAAGCATACCTAATGATCGTTTCTGGGTCTATGTCCTTACTCTTGGTTATATAACTCACATTTCTCTCTTTAGGTCGCTTGAGTCCACTTGGTCTGGGTTTAACAAACATTTGATGACGATTCTTGAGATGATTGATAAGAGCACTAGGCGAAGAAAGCGTTTCTTCACAGTCAAAACAAAGGTGACGAAGGAATATTTTGCTAGATTGCATATGGATACATATAGAAAAAGTTCTTTTTAAACTGGGTATTTATATGTCTAAAGAGACACTCATTTCATTGTTCAAGTGTATTCTAAAAGTTATTTTTATGCTTTATTATTGAAAGTATTCATTATTTGCATTTGAAAAAAAAAAAATGAGTCATGAAAACTCAAAAACTATCGGTAATTAAACTTGATTATCTTTTGACATCTCTCTATGTGTCTTCTTTTTTTTTCTTTTATTACTCTTTCATCATGTTTCGTCTTTCTGGTGCTGCTCGTACTTATGCTCAACGTTGCTTTTACTCTACTAGCTATGAGCATCTCAGTGCCCGTAAACAGTCTTTGATTGCTAGTTCTGGTATTTATCCTTCTGGATTTCGTGCCAGTGGTGTGGCTGCTCTTATTAAGAAGAACAAGAACAAAGATATAGCACTCGTTGTGTCTGATTTACCTTGTTCTGGTGCAGCTGTGTTTACGACCAACAAATTCCAAGCAGCTCCTGTGCTTGTCAGCAAAGAAACCTTGGAACAAAACAACAACCAACTCTATGCTGTCGTGACCAACTCAGGCTGTGCTAATGCAGTGACAGGTGCTCAGGGTATTCTGGATGCTAAGAAAATGCGTTCTGTAATGGACGAGCTTGTCCATCAACCCAACAGCGCCTTGACCATGTCTACGGGTGTGATTGGCCAGAACTTGCCTATGGACAAAATCGAGTCTGGTATTCGTGATGCCTTCACCAAGCTCTCAGATCAACATCAAGAGGGCTGGATGCATGCTGCTGAGGCCTTTATGACCACAGACACGTTCCCCAAGTTGCGTTCAGGTGAATTCGATTTACAGGAACAAAAATTTAGAATAGCTGGTATTGCAAAAGGTGCAGGCATGATTCATCCCAATATGGCCACGCTTTTAGGGTTCATGGTCACAGATGCTTATGTCAAGCCTGACTTGCTTCAAAAGGCACTCAAGTACGCTGTTGACAGAAGTTTCAATTCAATCAGTGTTGATGGCGATATGAGTACGAATGATACCATCTCTGTCTTGGCCAATGGTGCTTCCAAGGTCCGTATTGAATCTGAAGGCCCTGATTATGAAGCCTTTAGAGATCGTTTGACTGCATTTGCTGCTGAATTGGCTCAGTTGGTCGTGAGAGATGGTGAAGGTGCTACCAAGTTTGTCACGATTCATGTCAAGGTAGATAATATAGATAGAGTGAAATGTCATTCATATTAGATCATAGGGTGCTGAATCGTTTGAGAGTGCTAAGCAAGCTGCTTCTCATATCTCGACTTCTATGCTTGTCAAATCTGCTTTGTATGGGCAAGATGCTAACTGGGGCAGAATTTGTGCTAGTCTTGGTCACAGTGGTATTGATGTAGATCCTAAGCGAGTCAGTGTTACTTTTGTTCCTGCTGATGGCAGCCAGGACCTCCAATTGATGGTCAAGGGTGAACCTGAACAAGTGGACGAAGCAAGAGCTTTGGAGATTTTGAAGATGGAAGATTTGAACATCCAAGTTGACCTTGGATTAGGCTCAAGCGAGACCAAGTTTTGGACATGTGATCTGAGTCATGAATATGTCAGTATTAATGCTGATTATCGTTCATAAGATGCGATAAATTGTATGTGTGTGTATGTGTGTGTGTATTAAAAGCAGTTTATTTACATGTAATGTTACAAGATGTTCTTAATCATGCATAGATTGACTTTGTCGTTGACGAGACATGTATTCTTGAAGTGAGATCTTTTTTAACATTGGTTTGACAACCATGACCATGGCTGAATCATTACTGGTCTTGTTTTTATCTGTCATGTCTTGTTCTGCCAATAATTTCTTGTGTGATGTGTATTGCAAAAGCCATCGTTTCTTGGGTGGTGAAAAAGCATTTGAATGTACAGGTGCCTTTTGGTTGTCTTCATCAGAAGAGAAAATGGCTTTCTTGGCTTTCTTTTTTGTCCTATCTAAGTGATGATGATGTTTATGTTTTTTGCCTTTCAAAGTATCCACCTCTTTCTTAAGTTCATCCTTTAAATACTCTATTAGACATTCATCCTTGTTCTCGCAAGCACAGTCACCAAACTCTTTCGTGATCAAGTCCATCATCTCTTTCAATGAACCCCTTTCTTCTGGCTTAATTTCCACTTGGTAACTCTCATGACGAAAAAAGTCCTTGTTTTTTTGGTACATCATCACTTTTGTATTCCAGTCCCAACCCAGAGTGATTTCTTCACCACGTCCTACTTGTTCGTTTGTATAGATACCCATATGAATCATTTGATCATGACTGTTATGAGGTAAGATAATACTCTTGAGCTCAGCATTTGGAGAACAAGAACGGCGAATGTACCGACTGTCATTGCCTAAGGACCGAGCATCAATACAGATATCCAACGCACGATAAAAAAGACATGCGCCAAGGGTGTCCCCAATAACTGATACTTGTTGGCAGGATTGTTTTTATAAGCTGATTTTCGCATGAGTTCACCCGTCACTTCCATCAGATACCGATTTTTTGGAATATGAATATCAGCAAAAAGTCCCTTTTGAGTATGGGTTTTCTGTCTTTGCAAAAAAGATCCACGCAAGGCCTTTTGGATGGGTTTGATAGTAGCTTTAGGAATGACGGGTAATAACAAATCACTTTCCATAACCGTGATTGAGTCTAGTCCTTTATGCGTATTGGATGTGATCGGACTGGCTTTTGAAGTGTTTGATTTATAGAGGTCCATCCATTGTCGATGTATTTCTTTAAATAAGTCCATCACAATACGTTCTTTAAAGACACTCTTGTTAGTATAGGTAAATTGATTTAGTAAAAGGATGTCATGGTCACCATCAAAACGAGTGCCAACAGGCTTTTGAAGCTCTATGTAGATAAGTCAACCATGTCATATCTATATTTCCTTACTGGATTTTTTTTTCATGCAGCGATAACAAATGTAATGGTCTGGTATTTTCGTCTTTTTGATTTTCACGCACTCAGCATGCTGCCATTTTTCGCAGTCTTCACATTGAATAGTAAAACCATCATCACTCATATCGTCGCATATACATTGTATGGAGCCTTCTTCTTCTTCCTCTTCTTCTGTACTAGAGTATTTCATTGGTAATTCGTTTGTAGTAGGTTTTGATTTTAATTTTGACATTCTTTTTCTTTTATATATGAGCAAATAAGTGATTTTTTAAGATACAAGTAAGTTGTGAATACATAAAGAAAAAGAAAAGAGTAGCGTTGAATATCGCAGCACACACACACACACACACAAAAAAAAAAAAAAAAAAAAAGCATTGAGAAAAAAAACAATCAATCGACATAGTATTCCTCGGACAAATAAATACAGGTCATTTTCCGGATATTTGCCCGGACGATGACATTTGCATGATAGCCTTGTGAATTTTATTGACATTGTTTGTAAGACTCTAGTTGTTTCTTTTTCTTTCGAGTACTTTCGTTTCTTCTGCAAGTATGTTTTCTTGTTGTTCTTTTGTGTATTGTAGACCTGGAAGTGATTCCAACACTTGTTTTGCATGTTCAAACTTTTCTTCTAATTGAGTCACAGACTTGCCAACAGCATCAGCATTGTTTCCGTTTAATAAGAGATCCACAATCTGGTTGAACTCTTGAATAAAAGAAAAGTCTGATTTCTTAAATAATGAAGTTAAAGTTTCTTTTTGTGGTGATTCCATAAAATAAAAGGTATATATATATAAAAAAAAAGAGAGAAAAAGAGTCTTAAATACTGTTTTTACACTTCAATTCAGACGATGCTAGTTTTTTTCTGGACGAATCAAAATTAATTTTCAGATGCTCTTCTTGCCTATTTTGGACGAAATAAAAATGAAAATTAGACAGAAAAAGAATTAGCTTTTTGGATGAATGAGAGTTTACATTTAGACATTTATCTGTAAAGGGAAATCAATTGTTAGAGAAGCAATATCAAAATGACTGGTTATTGTGGTTTTTTCGGACTTTTTAAATAAAAAGATTGAATATAGAAATTATAAAAAAATAAAGAGACATGTAGAAAGTACTTTGAGACCGTTTATAAATGTTTATTAAGGTAAAAGTTTGAGAGAGATTTTTTATATTCTAGGTTTATATATGATTTGGATTATGTCCTTAGATGTAACTTGAGATAGGACTTGATGAGCTGAAGGTTATATTAGATGGAATAAGAGTATTGGCTTTCTCAATAAAATATACTTTGCGAACCATCTTTACAGTTATTTATCATTCATAGATGAGATCTGTTTACTGGTTCCTGGATTATATGACTCTATTCCGTAGGAGTGTAAATGTTGATTCAGCTATATCATTGTTTAGAATGAACTCAGTTTTATTGCTATCAAACTATGACTAGCTAGCATAATAATAATAATAATAATAATAATAATATATGACAAATGTTCTTGTTATGAGAAAAGATTTATTTGTGATAATATACTTTTTTTTATTTAAAGTCATTTATACCAGATCATCAACAATAGTTAGATTGATTTGTTTGTTATAATGTTTTTTTTTTAACGAGATTCATCTCATTAAAGAAAAATTAAGTTTTCCATCTGCTCCAAGAAACTGGCCACGAAGGTATAATCATTAAGTGTTCAATTGATATGGCCATATTGGTCACTAAACCTATCTAATAGTTGGTACCAGAAAAAGAAAGAGAAAGCAGCCTGAAATACTGAAAAAAATAAAAAGAGCAGCAAAACGTCAAAGGAATCAAGCTAAAGTTAATCTAGGGGGTAATATGCAAGAAGTGTGAACTTTCTGGCCACTCTTCTGCACGTTCACCTCTCTGCTCATTTTACATTACGAGTAAGTCAAATACTATGCTTTAGAATCTTGGGCCAAATTACACTGTTTACGCTCGTAAATTACCTTTTCAAAATTGTGTCAAGGAAGAATATCAAAACATATTGAAGCAGAAAATAACCTCGTGTTGTAGCGCTATAAGAGAGATAGTGTTTAGAGCCAAACTTTTTGTGAACTTGTATCTTTCGAAAACCTTAAATGAATCCGTATCTGATGGTATTTTTCGGCAACAGTTTTGGTATCCTGTTTGTCAACTGGTGAACAATAGTGAACCTAAAAACACCAAGCTTCTGCCACAAAATTTTTTACAAGAATGGATAACTTCAAAGCTGGAAATCCTAATGCCACTTTTAATGAAGATTTGTTTGGGGGAGCTAGCCAGTGCATTACTGAAGCCTGCAAGAAGCTGGCAACCGCCTACGAGAATGCAGTTGTAGAAAGAATTGAAAATATATTGAGAAGATTTTTGCAATATCAAATTCAAATTATGTTTGTTGTAAGAGCTAATAATCACATCCATTTACTCTAAATACTTAAATATTATGCATATAGTCCATGGCTCCGAAGGACGTCGATGACATTGTTACAGAGTATGGATATCAATATGTATGCCAAGGTGAAGCGGTATGGCCTGAACAGAAATCACTTGAAGACCCTATGATCAAACGAAGAATCGATGAACTATGCCTGCCACTTAAAAACAAACTCGATGCTAGAGTTAGTATAAAATCATTAGCTGATAACCCTGGCTTTTTTGTTCCTCTGTTGTTTCATATACTGGCTGTCTTTGAAAGGGAACATCAATCCCATAAAGCGTTTGACGTTAGAAGACTTCTTTTACCAAGGCTGTTCAATGTATTCCCTTCACCATCATGCCATTGGCGATCAGTGATAATTTCGGTCGATGCATTAGCAGCATTTCTTCCTGGTCAACCACTCCCCAGAGGGTATAATGATCAGCTGCATTTATTTTACAAGGTATTTGATTTTAAGCCGCTTAGAATTAAATCGTAAGTACATAGTAGTAAAGAATGTTTTTATATAATGATCATTCAAAATATATTTATTATTAGGATTGAATCTTTATTACTCACTGGATCAAATAAGAGGCTCTTTGGTAACCTGATCAAATCAGACGGTTTTTCTGTTAATTTCGTTTTTAACAAACGAACAATCAGAGGAAAACGTTTAACCAAGCAAATCAATCAAGTTGATCTGATCTTGGATGATTTTGAGCAGCATGAAGTTGACAGCCACTATTTACCAATAGCCGTAGATCCAGGAAGAAAAAGGGTTCTCACTGCATTTGCTGGTTCAAGTGGTAATATTAACGACTTCAGACAATATTCTATCAAGGAATGTTACCACTTGACAGGCTCTACAAAATTCTCAGCAGAGCAAGAAATATACTCACCAATAAGACTGCCAATGAATCACTGTATATGGAGTATGCCATTTATATGCTCAAAAACATTGGTCGTATTTTCAGTTTTTACAATCAAGAAACTGCAAAAGAAACCTTTTTCTTATACCAGGTTCGCCAACGAGCACCGGAGCAAATGGTGAAAACGTTTTTGGATGGTACCAAGAAATACAACAAGAAGTCAAGAGGAAACAAACGAAAAAGAGCAAAGAACAAAGGGAAGCGGAAGAAGAAGGGGAATAAGTCCGGAAAGAAGTATAAAGGAAAGAGAAAAATGGCACCGAAAACAACAGAAACAAGGTAAAAAGCTACTTGGGCATGGCTACGATAATTTTTATACTCATAAGTTTATGGTACTTAGAGAAGGCAATTTCTTTCAGTACAAACAGAAGGTACCACTGATAGCATCTGGTAGTAGCATGTTTGGGAAGAACCATGTGAAGATGAAAACGGTCCGGACTGGTGTCACTGGTCTTCTATACAGAACGTTGAAAAGAAGAGAGAGAGGACTGGTGACTTACTCGTTGTGGACATTGATGAATATTTGACATCCCAAATATGTTCCAAATGTGAAAGTAGGATTTTGGGTGGTTTAAGTGGTGCCCGCGGTAATAGTGTTCTCGTTTGCAAGACATGCAGAACATTATAGCAGCGTGACATCAACGCTAGTTTGAATATGATGAACATTGCTAAGTCAATTTGGAAGGGTGAAGGCCGTCCAGAACGATTCAAGAGAAATTAAAAAGAAAGGCAGTAATCGCCGTAATGAACACGGTATTTCCTTTGGGAATTAAGATTGTTATAGGTAAAATCATCTAACATACTATTGTACCTTCTCTAATAATTCTTCTCTTTCTGTTTAATTTCCATTTTTATTTCGTCCAAAATAGGTAAGAAAAACATCTGGAAATTAATTTTGATTTGTCCAGAAAAAAACTAACATCGTCTGAATTCAAAGTAGAAATACTGTAAACAGGATTTCACTCTCTTTTTTTTTGGAACTGAGTCAACTAAATTCACGTATGGATGCATAGAACATTGCTTGTATTTCTCATATATAGAATATAAAAAAAAATAGCATTTGCGCGCTTTATTTCTTTTTCTACTCAAATAAAGCAAAATTGACTCAAACAAGTCGATCTTTGATTGACAGTGTTATTGAGTGAATTAACGCTTTTTATTTCTCTCAAATCGCAAAACTGCCTCGTTTTGTTGTTGTTGATATTGAGTTATTTTATTTATTTATTTTTTGCTATTTAAAGAACTCTTGTTTTCTTCTGTTTTGTCTTTAAAAATGATCATCATTAACAATATTAAATACGCTTGTCAAAGTATGTTAAAAAGAATAAAACGATAAAAACTAATCTGCTTTTTTAGAATGTATCAAGGTAAGCAAGAAAATACAATTGTCAATTCAACGTATTCAGTAGGCTGTTAGGGACATCGATCTTCACGCTGTGAACATACAGAAAGACACTTAATGGTAGTCAGAAGAAAAGGCAGACCTGTGAGTCAATGCGAAGCATGCCGAGAATTACGCAAAGTAAGGCAAATTCATCAAAAATGTCACTGTTCAAACAAGAGAAATGCACCTTATATCATGTCGATTGAAGCACTTTTAATACCCTTTTTTAATAATTAAAAAAAAAAAAAAAGAAAAAGCCTCACTTTTTATGATGTAGCATCCATGACAACATCACGATCTACATCCATCACTTGTTGTTGTTGTTGTTGTTCTTGCTGGATGACATCAGCACTTTGACCAACAGGAATACGTTCATTGACTTGATCTTCAGGCACAGAGAAATGTCGACTACTTGTGTTTTCAGGCTTATTGATAAGCACCTTGTTTTTGTTTTCTTTTGTGTGCTTATAAAAACAATTGGGTCTAGTACATGCTCCATCAAATTTACACTAAGTTTATGAGTATCTCTTGTTTTCAACTCTCTACTTACAATCACATCAGATAATGGGTTAGGGTCTCTAGGATGAATAAAATGGCAGTCTGGTCGAGTACATGCATCGCCATTCTTACAAGGCACTTGCACACGCTGTGGTGTAAACGAAGGCTGTGTCTGCATAAAAAACGCTTGTTGTTGTTGAGGTGTTGGATGCATGTATGGACAAACAGGGTTGTTACAATAAGGGAAAAATTTACAAGGAATAGGTAATTTGGTCATCACAGGTAATGGTGGTTGGCTTGTTTCAGGGTGAATAAACATACATTCATTGGCCTTTTTGGGACAATTGGGAAAATCACTAGACTCCATGAGATGATGGCTACTTTAACTTTGTGTTACTTACCGACACACCTTACTAGGATGAAAGTAAGGACATTCTTTACCATTCTTACATGTTGGCCAATATTTACAGCGTTCTTTCTTTGTCTCTTCTGTAACAGGGGAAGGCTTGGGAATAGGCTTTGAAGTACCTAGACGATCAAAAACACTAGGTCTATCTTCTTGGCGCGATTCACGATGATCGTGGCGACGATCATGACGAGAAGAGTCACGTTCATAACGCGTTGAATGACGGACAGGTGAACGGGAACGACTACGAGAGCGATCAAGGCGATGAGGTGAACCCGAAGAAGTAAGACGAGGTCGATCTGAGTTGCTGGTATTGTTATTTAGTGCATGACCAAGTGCTCTACTGAAAATTCTGTTCTTGGGCTTTGGATCATGGGTTTCCATAGGTTCTTCTTGTTGTTGTTGTTGTTGTTGATGCGCGGCGGGCAAAGCACTTTCTAACTCGTGTTTACGAGCAAAGATCCATTGCGTCACATTGGGATCTACAATCATTAGTCTACTGGTTGTATAGTCTCTGTTCATTACCATAATCTGATCCAACCACTAACAATAGAAGTAAGCAACATGTCTCTTTTATTGAATGACTTACATTGACCGAGTTCATTATTCACTTCAACAGCATTCTTTCCAACTTGAACAAGATTGACAATGAATTCAGCAAGTGTACTATCTACATACAAACTTAGTCTTCAAAAATAAAGCAAAATAGCTTACCAGCCGCGTCTATATAGTCATAGGTCACACACTTGTTGTGAATTTCGTTCTAGATAGAAAGTAAATGAATAAGAACCGAGCCTTTTATAGAGTGTTTTCTTTACTTTTAATAATTCCCACTTTTCAGAGTCCATGATATCAATCAACAAAGCAAGCAAAAAAAAAAAAGTAAAAAAAAAGGCTTTTTTTTTTAGAATAAGGAGGTGACTGTCATTAGTCCGACATTGAATTTGATTGGCTGCATGCTTATTCAGAAAATCGGATCAAAAACACATTGTCCATAAAAAATAAATGGTAATACAATGCGCGCTCTTTCCAAAGATTCGTATCAATCCAGATTTTCCAAGTTTTTTCCAAGCTGTAGAACCTTAAAAAACAATTAAGAAGTATCGACTAGATCTGTCTTTTTATTCTATTTTAATATGATGTCGTTTATTTATCATGATCTAAACAGTATAAAATTATTATGTTGCTCGTGAGAAATGTTACACACTTAAAAAATCAGTTAACCCCAATCAAGCTATGCAATGTACGTTGGGAAAAAAAACTTGCTTATAAAGTTATCTCGCTTTATTCCTTTTCTTTTCTCTTCTTTTCTTTTTCTTTAAACTAATAGAAATGTCTGTGCAGAAAGATGTCTATAATCCAATCTTGTTTGAATGTGCTTGGGAAGTAGCCAATAAAGGTAATAAGAAATACACGCGTTTATGTGTATATTTATCAGTTTAAAGTGGGTGGTATTTATACTGTCATCAAGACAAAAGTGCCTGTTACTGTGCGTGAATTTGGCGACCGTTATTGCTTAATTGGCCCACTTTCTTACAAGACAGCTCCGATGGAAGTAGAAGCTCTCGAGCCACCTGCTGGTATAATCCGGGAAACATTGGAAGCAATGTCAAATCAAGGTGTGCGCTATCTATTCGGTCGATGGTTAGTAGAAGGCTCTCCTTATGTCTTGTTGTTTGATACAGGCAGTATGGGTCACAAACTGGATGAATGGAAAGGTGACCTTTGGCGTTCTGCTGGCATTCCTAGTCCCCCTAATGACCAAGAGACAAACGAGGCTATCTTGTTTGGCTACATTGTCGCTTGGTTTCTTGAACAAGTAGCCCAAAAGGTAAACAAAGAAAAAGATGTCTGTTTAGCCTAATAGGTTGTGTAGTACAAGGATCAATCCAACCAAGCTAACCCTAGTCCTGCCATCATTGGTCATTTCCATGAATGGCAAGCCGGTGTTCCTATCCCTTTGATCAAGCAGAGAAAGATAGATGTGGCCACAATCTTTACAACACATGCTACTTTGCTAGGTCGTTATCTCTGCGCTGGTTCAGTTGACTTTTATAACAATTTGCGTGATTTCGATGTGGATCAAGAAGCTGGGAAGCGTGGTATTTATCATCGCTATTGTATTGAGCGCGGTGCAGCTCACTGTTCGGATGTGTTTACGACAGTGAGTCATATCACGGCTTATGAAAGTGAACACTTGTTGAAGCGTAAACCAGGTAAGGTTCGTTTGTTTTAAATGTTTCCTAAACATACATTGCTATAGACGGTGTCCTGCCGAATGGTCTTAATGTCGTTAAATTTCAAGCGGTTCATGAATTTCAAAACAAGCATGCACTTAACAAGGAAAAGATCAATGATTTCGTTCGAGGACACTTTTATGGTCATTATGACTTTGATTTAAACAACACTGTCTATTTTTTTACTGCTGGTCGATATGAATTCCGTAATAAGGGTGTGGACATGTTCGTTGAATCACTTGGACGTAAGTAATGGTTCTTGTTTTTTTTTTTTTTTTTTTTTTTTTTTTTTTTTTTTTTTTTTTTTTTTTTTTTTTTTTTTTTTTGATGCTCATTTGTCTAGGTTTGAATGATCGTTTAAGGGCTGCCAAGTCCAACACGACTGTCGTTGCTTTTATTGTCATGCCTGCTGCTACTCATTCTTTCAATGTGGAAGCTCTTAAGGGACAAGCTGTTACGAAGCAATTGAGAGAAACAGTCAATGAAATTCAAAGTCGTATTGGTAAACGTATCTACGAAAGTGCTTTAAGGGGAGAAGAAGTGGACCCTGCAGAATTCTTACATGATGAAGACAAAGTGTTGTTGAAGCGTCGTGTGTTTGCACTCAAGAACCATAGTTTGCCTCCTATTGTGACTCATAACATGGTAGACGATGGTATGGATCCCATTATCAATCAACTCAGAAGACTTCAGTTATACAACAAGGGCGACGATCGAGTCAAGGTTATTTTCCATCCTGAGTTCTTGAATGCCAATAATCCTTTATTGGGTCTTGATTATGAAGACTTTGTACGTGGCTGTCACTTGGGTGTTTTTCCTTCTTACTATGAACCCTGGGGCTACACACCTGCTGAATGTACTGTGATGGGTGTACCTTCTATCACAACTAATTTGTCTGGTTTTGGGTGCTTTATGGATGAAAACATTGAAAACTGTGAAGACTATGGTATCTATATTGTTGATCGACGACTTAAATCTGTGGAAGAGTCTATTCAACAACTCTGCGAACAAATGTTTCGGTTCTGCCAAAAGACGCGTCGTCAACGTATCAATCAACGTAACCGTACAGAACGTCTATCGGATCTCTTAGACTGGAAGCGTATGGGTCTCGAATACATCAAGGCACGTCAATTGGCTTTACGTCGTGTCTATCCAGACTCATTTGTGGACGACGATGATCAATTTGATATGGATACGACTGTCAAGAAGATCCCCAAGCCATTATCTGCACCTGCCAGTCCTCGTATTCGTAGCTTAGTCAATGGATACTTCAATGATGATGATGAGGAAGAAGAAGAAGAACAACAACAAGAATTGTTGATACCCTTACCCAAAAAGGAATTCCCTGCACTTCATAAAAAAGGAGACGGTGCTTCAAGAGAAGAAGAATTATTAAGAGAAGGTGATATTATGACATTGAACAAGCTTACTTTGGAAGAAAAACAACAAAGACATCACTAAGATATAAAAGGAAAAAAAAACTTTTTTAATTCAGCATCCTTCATCCTAATAAAGCATTTTTTCTCTTTCTTTTTATTATTACTATTATTATTATTATGCCTGTAGCTGTTAAACCTTTGCCTGTTACTGTCTTTACTGGTTTCTTGGGAAGTGGTAAAGTGAAAGTTGAGTTTATAAAAGTTACTCGTCTAAACTACTTTGTCAGGTAAAACAACCCAGATCTTGAACTTGCTCAACCGTGTTCCTAAAGACTACAAAGTGTGTTTATTAAAGAATGAATTTGGAGATATTGCTGGTATTATATTTTGATATTGATTTTGTTGATTTATCATGTTGTAAGTCGATAGTCAGTTGGCAAAAGAAACCAACGTAGGTGTGCAAGAAATGGTCAATGGTTGTATGTGTTGTGTCTTGGTTGGACAAATGAAACTAGCTCTTCAAGAATTAAGAGGTAAACAAAATAGACATCTATCATTTGACTAATAATCAACAAGATCAATACAATCCTGATAGAATCATTATCGAAACCAGCGGTTCAGCTTTTCCTGGTAAGAAAAAAAAATTATCAGCTGTTGACTAAAGATCCATCTGATAAGCACCTATCGCTTGGCAAATCAGAGAAATGGCAGACGATGGTTTTGTTCTAGACTCAATTATTACCGTAGTTGATTGTGAAAACTTTAAAGGTTATGAGGATACAAGCTATACTGCTAAATTACAAGCACAATATACTGATGTGATCTTGCTCAACAAGCATGAATTGGTCAATGAACGTCAATTGGACGACGTACTTGACCATGTCAATGTGCTCAATACAGACACACCCAAGGTCAAGTGTGACAAGAATGGCGTTTCGCCTGATCTTGTGTTTGGACTCGATACACAGTTATTTAAAGTGGGTTATGATAAGCACAAAACGTTAGAGGAATCTGTTTTTGACCCTCATCATCAAGAAAACGAAGTTGATCTCATTCAGATTTTGCAGTCTGTAAATGATCAGAGATTGTCTTTAGCAGCATTCGAGGACTTTTTGAAATCGATGCCCAAGGAAGACATCTATCGTATCAAAGGGTTTATTCGTCTGCAAGATGCTCCATTGTCTATTGTGAATCACGCTTTTGGTCGCTGGACCTTAACACCTGTTGAAAATGAAGATACTCTGGAAAACACAAAAGATGTTCAAATCAAAATTACTGTGATGGGTCAAGATCTTAGAATGTATACAGAAAAAGTAAAGATTTTACTTCATGGTGGACAAGGTGACATCAAATTGACGCCTGCACACCGTCATTAGATTATTTGTAGAATAAAAACATATAGAAGGTTGTGTTCTGCCTTTGGCTAAAATTTATTATCATGTTTCAATGATTCAAACATGCTCCTTATTGGTGCTAGAAATCAAATGTTTGGGATTGATGCTAGTTCAAAACTAAGCATAAAAGGCCCATTTTTACTTGATCAAATCATACAAATGAGACTGTACGATTGAAGATCTTTACTGTAGAAAAATCGAGTCATTCAATTGGTAACACACAGTAGTTCGTAGCATGTTTAA